ACAAGTGCTTCTCATTTTTTTAATTTATAGGTATGGAATCCATTGAGGGACATTTGTCCAGTACTTTTCATGAATTCTTTGTTTATGTAAATGGGGGGGGGGTATGTCTATGGAGACTGATAATTTATTGATGGAACTTCCAGATAGATTTTACAGTACAGTACCAAGTTTATCACTACTTCTTGACCCCCCCCTTTTTTTTTAAGCCACTGGGTCTACATTGAATTTCTGGCAATGATCATGAAGCATCAAGTTTTGGGTTTTGGTGCTTAATTTGAAAGTGGTTGTATACTTTGAGTACAGTACATGAATTGATTTGTAAAAAAAATAGACAGGTTATCAATAGGCATTAGGCATTAAATGTTAGGTTTTGTGATATTCTGTGTGAAAAAATATGCCACATATCAAAAATTGGTGTGTACATTCCCACTTTCAGCAGTTACTGGTTATTCTGTTGCTAGTGATCTCAAAAGCCATAATTCTTAAGGGATTTCAAAGTAATGTGTTATGCCTCGCATGTCTTGGCTATTTTGGCAAACCCTGGTGGCTGATTTTCTGCCAAATATATACACACACAAATAAGATATGAAGTAAACTTTCCAACCCCCACATATAGGTGTCCAACCGCTTCTTGAAAGTGTATTTTCAAATCCCTTGTTTAATTTCTGTAGTGTGTTTGAATGGTATAAAAGTCTTTTAAGTCTTATTATTTTACAATGTAGAATCAAAAATGCTTTATAATGGTGGTGAATGAATTGAATTCTGGTTAGGATGTAAAAGTTTTTCAGATAACTGTGGGAATCTTCTTTCCCAGTGCCATTTGCAATTTAGTCACTCTCCATACATATAGTGTTCATGGGATTCTTTGCAGTTGTTGCATCCACATTCCTTTCAGATGAGATACATAGTGCAGAATTGCAGATATTTATGTTGTGGAAGAGTTGGTTGCATCAAAATTTTTACTACCAGTAACTTGAGAATTACTCTTGTGTCAGAAGTGTGCTGTAGTAGTACATTGTTATTGTATTTAAGTGTAATTTATGTAGACAATTAACATAAAAAGAATATGCATACAGTTTACAGTAACTATGTATTGATATTAAAGTGCATGTTTTGGGTTATAACATTCTAGATGAGAGAAATCCAGGACATATGAACAACACTCCAAATGTTGACTGAGAATCCAGCTTTAATCTGTGTTCATTTAAATATTGCTTTAATGAACTTCAGTTTTTGCCAGGTCTTCCCTTAAAGTTTTCCTCTGTATTATATCTCATATTGAATTAATTAAGGAAAGGCCATTGATAGTTTTAGCATTTTTTTATTTTTTCTCATGAAGTTGAAAAAAAAAAACAAGAACTTCAATTTATATTTCATGTAATTATGCCAACATCCACAGTTGTTGTATGTCATACAAGAGTCAGATTTACTGTCTGGTATGATGCCAATGACTGTACACATTTTTTTTTTGTTCAGTTTCTTTTGAGGTAAATTGGAAAACGCTCCAGTACTCGCAGGAAGTGACACAAGACTGCACTAGGGGTTCAAACGATGTAGTGCCCTCCAGTTGTGTTGGAGGTCACAATATACAGTGTGGTAACTAAGACATGAACATTTCAACTCGACTACTGGCAGGTTGATGAGAAACTGTAGACCAAGTGTTTTGCAATGGTGCTTCACAGGCTCAGTTTTCTAGATAACTGTGAAATGAGGATGATTCCACCTGGAATGTTTTGGTCCTAGACTACTGTATATAGCCAAGGCTGAAATTATTCATTTATGGCTATTGGCTAGCATCTAGAACTTAAACATTCTAAGCATTTTGATGTCCTCTTCAGAATCTACAAAATTTGGCCTTTAGTGTATTAAGTGTTGTGCTACCGATGAGTGACATGTGTACAATAAGATCACTGCATCATAATACGTAGTTTGTTAACTTAGACATTAATAAACACACTCTTAACTAAACATTGTATTTGTAATCACTTGATTGTTGGATGTATTTATAGATCTCTGAATAGCAGTTTATTAAACCTAAGGAACTTAACAGCCTTAATAGACTAACTCCAATTTGAGAAAAAGGCTGCTGAAAGGTTTTATATTGCGAGGACTATTGTATGGGTCAGATCCGTGGACACTGCAGACACCAGAAAGAGGCTGGAGGCCTTTAAATGTGGTGTTATAGGAGAATGCTAAGAATAAGCTGCACCAAGAATTCTAATTAGAATCCTTTGCTACACTAACAGGAAAAGAAATGAAGAGAATACAGTACTGCACTAATATTGGCAAAAACTTCAAGAGAAATACTTGAAATGTACAGAAAAAAAAAGAGATACTTTGGTCATATCAGAGTTGAGGGAATAATTACAAATATTTTTGGGCAAAGTTGAGGGTAAGAGGGCTAGAGGAAGGCAGAGACTGGGATGGATGAATGAAATTAAAACTGGGTCCCGAGAGAGATACCAAGCTGAAGGTTTGGTAAAAATCAAGATGTTTTAATATAGGTGGAGGCGGTTATCACCCCACGAGGCCCAGTTAGTGGGGCAGCTAAATGCAATTTTTCAAGAGAATCGTGCAAATGGTGATACAAGCACCAAATTTGGAATGGTAATTCTCTAATGGTTACTAGTCAAGTCTGCCTGATTGGCCATTTGAAAATCCAAGATGGCGGCCATATTGACCTTCAAAAGTTGATTTTTCTTACAGAAATTGATGTAGTTGGTCAATCTGAGTGATCTTGGTGTCGATATGTATGTTTTCAAGCATGCTCAGATGATTTTTTATAGTTTTAAGTCCACTGTAACATTTTTATCCACATAAAATAACACTTAGAAAAAAAATAACAAAAAAGAACTTACTAAAAAAAAAACAAGTACTCACTATTAGCACTGGTTCCTGTGACTTCTCCTGACAGTACATCTTTGTGCATTTACTGCTGTTCACATATGCAGCTGCAAAGTGCTGTGCAGGAAAGTCCAGAGCGAAAGCATTTGCATCTCTGGTTGCAGTCTTTCTTACAGGAACATTTGGTCAGCTCCTGACAGCATGTCGCAATCGGGGGAAGAGTCGTCCAACGTATCTGCCATGCCTCTCCCTTCTGCGTCCATCCCCAGACTCTGCTGTACCAGATGAAGCCACTCCTGCTTCAACAAGGGAACCGGTCCAACCACTGTCTTGTAGTAGCGTTCCTAGTGATCTCAGTGCAGCCATCTCTATGTGAAGTCCCCCGAACATAATAACATGCCTGTCTTCTCCATACTCAGGCCAATGCCATTGGATTTGTTTTGCCAGGGCATACAGTGGCTGGTCAGCAGCAATGACTGGGATCTGACCTGGGTTCAGAAAAGCCACTGTATCACGAACCTTTTCCAATGACATGCTTGATGGTTGCCACAGAGTGTGCCTGATCTCTAAGCAGGGGAAGCAGAGACGTAATGCTCACTTCAAATGGCTGACTCCTCTTCTGTGCTGCATGGTGAGCTGCCCACGTGATGCAGACTTCATCAGCCACATCCTCAGCAAGACCTCTTCCAGCCAAGCATACTCTTCCTGCAGGTGTGACTGGATTGACTCAGGTGCTGGCAATGACTGAGGTGCTACCAAGGGAGGATTGGGATTATTCATAATATTAGCTGGTCGGACATTGGTGAATGCCTCTGGAAGCTCAGGAACTTTCTTGACCATCGTATCTGCATTCCGTCTGAGTGGCTCACGCTCCTCACCAGCCTGCTCAGGGCTTGGATGTTGGAAGATGGACACACTGGTCCCATGGAAGGACGTTTTGGCCGTAGTCGCAGTGGGGTTGTGGTCAATGTTGTCCACTGCTGAAGTCGTGAACAACTTCTTCCTCAAGATTGGTGGACACACCACTCCATCTTCCACGTACTGGCATACAACTGCTTCTCCTAGCTGGGCTGATAATTGTAGAACTCTGTCATATGAAATGCTGACCCCATTTTCATGCAGCATGTCGATGAGCTGCCTCTTTCTTGTCTTAGCAAACACAGACAGGCCGACATAGATAGCAAAAGGTGTCTCATGGTCCTTGGAGTGTCTGTGGATTTGTGTTCCTACCTTGTAGTTGGCAAAGCAGTTGTACTGTAAGAGCTGTGACATAGCAAGGTCAGACTTCGATGCGCCATGCTGGAGTTGGGATTTGATATCTGCACCATGTTAGATCATGTATACAAATTGAAGCAGTGATGGTGGAACAGCCTGTTCAATGCATCCTTCATGAAATGTACTGCTGAAGTGTGACTTGTGCTGAAGCATGTCCCGTCGTATCATCCCAGCAACCTTGGCCAGATGGATGGCGTCACCGTATTTGCTTGCTTGTGCCAGGATTGAGCCAACATCCTTCTCAAAGACCAGTAGGATATCTCTTCCTTGATGGTGAGCTTGCAGCTGGGGGATGTGAAAAAGCAGCTGGTCCTTCAGTCGAGTAGCATGAACATCGGGCGATCCAACACCCAGCTGCTCAAGTCTCTGTCTGTAGAGTGTGACCAAGTCAGCAAGTCTGAAAATGGGTGGTTCAGTATCTTCACTAGAAGCTTTCATCTGAGTGATGTAAGTGACCAGTTCAGAGAAAGCAGTTGGGTATGTGTCCTTGTTCGGCTGAAGCTCTTGTGCTTCTTCTTGCTCATGAGCATTTCGGTGTGTTCTTTCTCGGTTGTACAGGTCTGCCAGGCAGCGAGGGTGATACTTCAGTTCTTGTGCCACAACATCTCCTGCACTTAGTTTGGCAAGGAGTTTTCCATCGCTAAGTGTCTTCGCACAATCATTCAATCTTTTATTAAGTTTCATTGTCATTGCATGTCTTATGTCATCTTGATTGTTATTATCTAGATTATTACGGCTGCCATTTTTTTTTCGATTCAATTTCGCGGAAATTAAAATCTAAGAATAAAAATTCGTAATTATTCGAATACTGTAGAAACGTCTATGATTTAAACTTTGATACACAATTATTTTTTTTCGGTTATTTAATTTTTCTTGTTAGACTTACTCAGAACAAAAGCCTATCAGTCGTCAACAAACGTTCATGGTGTACTAGAGGGAGCTTGAACAGGTACAGTATATATTAACTCTCAGATTAACGTAATAAAGAAAACCACTCACCGATAATTTCATTTATATGTAATGGTTATGGAATAGTTGTGAAGGAGAGGCAGTAGACAGTAGTAAGTACGTAAATTTGGTTCAACAAAGTGATAAGAAATTTTTTGTTTACTATGGACCACAATTCAAATTTTCCTAACTAGGTGTGTTATAGTTTTGTGGTGTTGTGAATTAGAACTGTTATACTTTAAATCTCCATTCTTTCTTCACATGAGTTTAACTTTTCATAATAAACTTTCTGTACAGCTGATATCGAGACCCGGTGAAGAGGGCCTCTGGAACTTCACCACCACACAGGTCAGGAGATTATTACAATGAATAAAGGAAATTTTTATTTTTCGAGTATTTTAACCAATGAAATGGTATTTGTGCAGATTACAGCAACCAAAGAATTCCGGAAATTCACTTCACTTAATCGAGCTATTTTTTTTCTATTATCAATTTCTTTTATACACTTCCATCACAAATTTATAATAATGAAGTTATTGAATTTTAAAAGAATAAAATCAGAGCACCTGTCCCTGACTCGGAGTAAGGTAAGAAATACTGTAATGGCTGGAGGCTGACCAAACAACTCTGGGTTGTTACCTAGCATATGGCCCTATCCCCTGGCCAGGGCTCGGTTAGGTGGTTAGGTAAGGTTTAGTTTGGTTGTATTGTATAATCCACAAATCACTCGTTTTTTTTTCTCTCCCTCGCCCAAAGCCCCAAATTCCCACGCACTTCCCCAGTATTGTTATAGGGGGCTAAATAAAAAACGAGTAATTTCCGACAAAAAATATCATAGAAGAAAAGTGTTTTAAATTTGTCTGAACTACTGTACATGATAGGTATATTAAAGAAAAAAAGTTATGGTTCAATTAAAAGCAATAATACCGAAACTAACTAAAATTGGCTAACCTTCATTTCTGTCGGATATGAGCAGTTATGGAGTCTCTAGAAGTGGTTAGGGTTTTGAAGTAGAAGGAAACTGTGAGGTAAAAACACCAAAAATTTACCTAATCTAACCTGCCCTAACTTCACCTTCTCCAGCCTCTGAGCCTGAGACACATACGTGCATGGAAAATTATACTCAGCTTCAGAGGTTTTTGCGGAAAAATAGTTGCATATTTTTTTTCTTCTTTATTTCAGGGCTCATTTCACTGCCATGAAATTGTTTTATTAAATGTAATGGGGTCTCTTATAGCATAAAATTGTATGAAACCCTAAAAAAGTGAAAATTCTTGAAATTTAGCCACTTTTTTCGAGTATAAGTTGAAAAAGTAGGAAAGTGTATAGTAACATCTCTATTTCCATTCCCATTTTCCTTGTATTATGGTGTTCATTGATATGTACTGTATACCAAAATAAATAACAAAGCATGTAGAATATGGTGGTACAAGGAAAAATAATATAACACAAAAACTCATGGAATAATTAAAGGGCCGAGCGGCGCACCCTCCTCTCGCTCTAATGGCCAGAGCGACACTGGCTTCATGTTGTGCTGCCACGCACACGATGACCAAGACCATCTCGGGGAAGGTGATAAAGCCCACAAAGAAAATGACGTCTGTCAAATGGCGTCCAAATTTCAGTCAGTTTTACTGAATTGTTTTTGAGTTATTTGATAATATAGCCCATTGGACGCCACGTTGGCGTTGCGAGGCAGAGCGTAAGTGTTTCGTCTTTTATGTTTGACAGCACAATGGCTTCGTGCGAGGCTTAGAGGGTTAAGAAATGGGTAATTATTTATGACTAACCTGCAGCCAAAATTGATAGAATTTTTTTTGAAAATGCCAGATTTTCACTTTTTTTTTATAGTGCAAATGTGTTAAAAAAATGGTTATTTCTAAAATAAACGTAACTTAACCTTTGTGGGTATGAAAAACAGACCTAATTAACATAGCCAAACAAACCTATGTAACCTTACCTAACTTCCATACCGGGGGCTCTGCCCCCCGGACCTGGACCCCCCGGTATATTAAACAGAAAGAACTTACAATGATAGAGTGTAATTTGAGGCTTTTTCTGGACATGAGACCATGCTGCCATATTGGCGCTTATGCAGCCCAGGCGGCGGAGTGATTTATTGTGATGGCAGGAAACTTCGAGCCATGGCATTGAGGAAGTGTTGATAATTTTCTCATTCCATTGGAACAAATTTCTTTCCAGTCTGAAAGCACAGGGATTCCCGCTGTGTGGACAGTCTCTATTGAAAAGAACAAAGCCTTGGTCTTTGAACAATTGAAGGGTCTCGTCTTTATCCCTAGATTCGCAAATTACGTCCATATCAGAATGGCGACAGCCTTCACACATCATGCTGAAAATGAAAGTGCCATGGGCGCGGGAAGAAGCGCCGCAGCAGAGCGCAGACTCATTACCGCCAGAAAGACAAAGTAGTGCGCGCCTAGGCACCTAATTATCTACAAAACGAAACATTTGCTCAAGAAATGACTATCATATCAGAACTCACTGATAAAAATAACTCGTCTGTGGGTTAGTCATAAATATTAACCAAGAAATGTGCAACTTGTCCAACCAAGTGCTTTTGATGTTTCAATATACAAAAACTGAAAAGCCACAAAGTGCAGATTTCATTGTCTTGGCAGTTTTGTGGCTTCTCTTGCATTACCAGATGTGGATAATGGTGGAGTAGACGGTTAACACCAGAAGGATTTTATGGAATTGCACCAGTTTTCTGATTTTGTTTAGGTGATACTAAGTAAGAAAATTAGAACCTACCTAAGCTCACCTAACCTTCTAACCTGTGCATTGTCATTTCAATCTTTTTGCTATCACCCAAACAACATCTCTAGAGAAAATGAACGAGTTCAATCCAATATAATTCGTTAATTTCTTGACCATGTAAACAAAGATCGTGGATTCTCCTGTATAACAGACGATGTGACCCACAACATGGTTGGCACGGGATATCCGACGGCACCATAATTATGGCAAATAATTTATTTCTTTGCCTACAAAGCTTGTAGAGACATGAAATTACTACCATATGGTCAGTGTTTGCAGTGTTTTTACCCCATTACTTCCCTCTTCTTTCATGCCCTGCCCACTACCAAGTAATTTATGATTGAAGGATAGACTAAAAAGAAAAAAACAAATAGTATAACAATGTTGTCTTTTGATTTTATTACTCAGTGTCATCCAAAGAACAACTGGAGAATATGAACAAAATATATAAACGTGTTTGGGTGCTAACCGTCTCCTCCACCTTTACCCCAGATGTGTTTAACTTAACAATAATGGCAGTCTGCACCACATTTTGGACACTTTAGGGAGCAGTAGCATTATTTTAAAAGTGACATGAATGGTTTGCCATTCTGACCGGGAACACCCTTCACATGTGGAAGACATCTTGCCACTGACAAATTTTAATTCAAATGAGTATGAAGTTAAAAATATATCCCACGAACTTAAATCCTGCAATTTCTTAGGTAAAATTGAAAAGGTAAAATAATTTGAAAAATATGAATTTGTGAGGAAAATGCTATAGAGTAAAGTAGGTATTTGACTGGGATCTAAAATAAAACTACTAAGTACTACTAGCCACAGAAAATTTTTCATATACGACTTACTCGACTTACGTCCACCCGCACTTACGACCTGCCTCAGTCGTACCAAAATTTGGTTAAATTATGTATTTAGTCCCAAAGTCAGTACACAGACAAAATTTTCATCTGTAATTCACTTTAAATTGGCTGGCAAGCTTAAAATTGAGAGTTTTGTGGTGCTGAGAAGAAAAAGAGACATCCATTTTAGATTTTCTGTGTGTTATTTAAGCATTTCCGACTTACGACCATTTCGACTTACGACCTGTATGTCGGTCCCTAACCCCGTCGTAATTCAGGGAGTACCTGTATATTATTTTATTGATAATTTCAAACTTCCATGTATTAGAAAAAACTGATCAATAGAAATAATACTGTACATGCAAAATTAAGGATACACTACAAGGAAGATAAATTCAGATTAAGTTTAGGTATCAGATACAGACCTCAAAAATTGTTGATCTGACCTCACCTAACCTACTTTATATATGTTCATGAGAGAAATGGGACATCTCGGAATATCAGAAGACTATTAAATATGATAGTGATAAAGCAGTCAACATTTAAATAATAGTGCTGGATAATGACTGGTGTAATGCCCACAGTCATCCTGATCAGAATCCAATTAAAATCATAGTAAAATCATACACAATCCCTGTGTGTCCTGGTTAAATAGCTGATGGTTATTTTACCTGGCAACCCTTGGCCAAATAACCACTTTGTTTTTTGCCCTATCTCCCTGCATAAAAATCACTCTAAAGTTCCACCGTGTCCACTATTGAATCTTAACCCCAGTCAGAAAAATATCAGTTTTTGTTGAGGGTGACGGATTCATAATAGGAAAACAGCTATTTATTTTTTTGGCATGGAGGGGGAAGGTGACCACTCTTCACTGTTATCATCTTCATTTACTTCCCTCACACATTTGATGGGATTTTATGGCCAGAATTTGATAGTTTTAGTGTATTAGGGGAATAATTTCCTGTTGTTAAAGGTGAAACTTGTTTTGGTAAATTTCTGGATTGAGGAAATTTTTGTGTAACAGGTGTGTAGTTAGGCAGCTGCAGCAAGAACAATTCTGAGTTTTTATTTTGTAAAAAACCCAGTTTCACCATAATATGTGTATGTACTGTATACTTTACTGTGCAGGCTCTGAAATATTTTCAGTTAATTAATGTGATACCAGCACTTACATGTTTTGCATTCTAAGGCCTTACCTTTATTTTCAGCTATTTACCCACACTGGCCATTATTCTGCAAACACCAGCAAATGATTTAGGCAAGAAAAACCACATTGGTTAATGTAGTTTTTCATGACAGTTTGAGAAAATGCATAATTGTTGAGTTATGGCCCTTCCTACTCTGTCCATATTGACCCCACTAAAGGTGAACAGGGCTTCTTAGCAGAGGGAAAATGTGGAATTAAAATCATAACTAATGGATTTATCTAAACTATTTATGAATTATATAGGTCTATAGTTATATTGTTAATCATTCTCAAATATGAAGTTATTTGGATGTTTATTAAAAAAGAAAGTCCACATGAAATCTAATGAACTCTTATTTATACTAAGTGTTTCTTACCAATTTGCATGAAACTTTAACCATATTGCAAGGCCAACCAAATCAAACTTAAGGCTAAAATGTTAAATTACTGTAGTAATATGAAATAGAATTGTTTCATGCCAAATATGTACCAGTAATGGACATAAAGATGGTTACATCTGACCTATCTATAGATACCAAAAGTTTGAAATTCAGTCCACAACTTTGGGAGGAGATGGGTGGAGAATTGGGTGCTACTATAAATAGTATGCGGTTTACCGAATTGGAGTTGTGTCTACCAGAATATTTACACTGTAGCATCCATTAACCTAACCTAAATTAGGTTAGGATAATTACTATGTAGCATCCATTAACCTAACCTAGGTTAGGTTGGGTTAATAGACGCTACAGTGTAAATATCCCGGTAGACCACATACTATAGCAGCACCGAGAATTTAATTCCTGGTGCTTTGTTTACATAGGCAAACAGCTGACCAGCCATCCAGCCTGTGCCTATGTCTGTCTCAATGTTGGTATAATGGTGTCACCCAGAAGCTAATTATGAGAAGGGAAGGAGCTGTTTACGTAAAATAGAACTACTGCACTGTACAATATCTACCGGTATGTGCGACTGTATTTTTTTATGTATTATGTACAGTATTTAGTGTATATTAAAGTAGTTTTGGAACAAAATGCTGTACTGTATGCAGATTTTTGGGCCTCTGAAACCTAACTACAGTACAGTACCTGTAATTATTTCCACTTAGTAAATTAAACTATAATATGCAATTTGATAATTCATGTTGTCTTATGCTACCAAACCCGTGAATTATCACAACTGTATGAGTATTGTACAGTATTCTAAAGTTGGGCAGTACCCAGTGGCTCATTCGTCCTAGCATCAAACATAATTGAATGATGGTTCTTGTCAATTTGCTGGAGGTGCAGAAGTCGTGGCATACTAAAGTAGTGTACTATAGCTGTTCCTTAAATAAATTTAAAGTGAATTTTTCACATATTCTCTGGGATCTGGTTACTGTATATATGTTGAAGTAATTAATTTTCTTTAAACAACATCTCAAAACCACTTGTTGAGTATGGACCCTGGTGTAAAGTAGTACAGGTACTCTACTCTACTCTATTGCCTTTCCAAAAGTATACTGCTTGTGAAAATGTCTCCATACAGATTGCTTACTGGAACAGGATGGAGTGTGTAGTTTTATCAACTTTGCTACTATGGTATAGCTAGTTGAACTAGTTAAGAATGTGAATGTGAGATTGCATTGTCTAAACATTTGGATATTTAAGACAGTTATATATTTTTGGTCAGGTATTCAGAACAGTACCTTTTACAGGAGTAGCTTTAGATAAACCTTTGGTAACTCTATATGTCTATTTCTCTTATCTATCTGTCTGTCTGTGTCCACCCTTTTTTTTTATTGGTATCCTTATCTGTTGGAGAGTCTGATCCAAGCATTATTAACCTTTCTTAGCTTTTCATTTTATTTTAACTAAAACATTTTATCTTCCAGATAATCCATCATGGATGAAGACACAGGATTAAGGTCACATCGCCGTGAAAGGAAAGAAAGAAAGGAAAAGGAGAGGAGAGACAGAGAACGAGAGAGAGGAGATAGAGAGAGAGAAAGAGACAGAGAACGAGAAGAGAGGGATAAAGACCGGGAACACTACAGAGAGCGTGAGAAAGAGAGAGACAGAGATTATGAGAGGGATAGAGACCGTAACAGAGAGAGGTAAGATTTGAATGACATTGGTCCCTATAGACAGTTAGAAGGAATGTGTATACAATACAAGGAGTCAGTCAATTTGGCCAGCAGTGACTTCACCTCCCCACTAAATTTAAGTATGTACCCATTCACCGTTGGTTGACTAGGGATTCTCCAACCATGAACCCAAACAGAAGACAAGCTTTTTCTTCACTAGGCTGCTGCAACCCCTCAAGAGTAGTGTTTCATAAACACTTTAACTCATCACTTATGTTATGTACTATGCTTGAGTGCTGTATGATACACTTGTACTCTTCACTTAAATAGTGTTCTTGTACTCAACTGTGATAACATATACTGCACTTGTAGCTGCAATAGTGTTGTACAGTATAGTACATATGTACTAATTAGTAGTGGTGCAGTGGGTGAGTGGATGCAGTGTTACCTTCTGTCCCAATAGTTGCTGATTCACATCCAGGCAACCCCCCAGTTCACTCAGCTGTTAATGGGTACCTCTTTTTACAATTAGGGAAGTGGAGGCAGTCAAAATGCAGTGCTGTCCACATTGCCTCCATATGAACTGAAGGCTTAGTGTACAGTGAGTTGTATCCACACTGCCCCTAACAGGGGTCCACTTATACTTTTCACTCTTCAACAGAATTGTACAATGTAGCTGTACTCTATGCTCTGAGTATGACGAGTCATTATCCGTATGTGTGGTAGGTCTGAGATAATTCAACCTTCTTGTAGAACAGTAGACATATACAGTAAGTCCTCGCTTAATGTTGAGGTTACGTTCCTGAAAACGCGATGTTATATGAAACAACTTTAAGTGGATCAATTTTCCCCATAAGAAATGGATAAAATACGGGAGTTACGTTCCTGAGCCTCCCTTTGGCCTATGAAATACATTACATATACAGAAATTCAATGCCATTTTTATAGAAAATAGTGTATATATATATATATATATATATATATATATATATATATATATATATATATATATATATATATATATATATATATATATATATATATATATATATATATATATATATACAGTCTACGCGGAAGGTTAAGGCACACCATGGGGAAAAAATAAAAAAAATCATGGTTAGGCAATAAAAAAATGAAAATAACACTCACCCGCCCCTCTTAGTATTTTGTTGTGTTTCCCTTCCTCTTCAGCACCTCTTTCAGTCGTTGTGGAACACTGTCTGCAAGGTTTTGCAGGTGCTGTGGGGTGAAATTGGCCCACAGTTGCTTAATTGCTGTGGTGAGCTTGGGGACGGACGAGGTGTCGAGGTCACGTAGGCGACGTTTCATGAGCCCCCAAAGGTTCTCAATAGGGTTGATGTCGGGGGAATTGCCAGGCCAGTCCTTAAAATATGAAACCTGGCAATCCTCCAACCACTGAGTAACCGACTTGGCTGTGTGGCAGGGAGCACCGTCCTGCATGAACACGACGGCGCGTGTTTTCTCAAACGAGTCAGGCAGAACGTCACAGAGAAGCTCGAGGTACACACCCTGGTTAACTTTAATGTTTTTTCAAGCACAACCAACTCACCAACACCGTAATAAGTGAAACAACCCCATACCATCACTGAATCAGGATGCTTGACCGTCTTGACGGTGTACCTGGGGTCGAGCGGGTCAGAGTCTGGCCGGCGGTACACCCGATCGTGACCACAACCACTCACTGTAAACGTGGCTTCATCACTCCAAAGGACGTTCCTCCAATCCTGAAGGGACCAAACACTGTACTTCTTCGCAAAAGTGATCCTCTTCTTCTTCTGGGCAGCAGTCAGCAGGGGCTTACGGCGTGGGCGGTAGGCGTGATAACCGAGATCGTCATGAAGAAGCTGCTGCACCGACCTTAAGGAGACGTGACCAAGGAGTCCGGGGTTAGCTTGCTTTAATTCCCGGGCCGTGAGCTTAGGATTAGCATTAACTTGCCTAGCAATCACCTTCCTGGTTCTAGGAGACGTAAGCCGTGGTCGCCCAGACTTGGGTTTAGGGGTAGGCAACTCTTCCTGGCTGTTTGCCTCAAACTCCGAGATGAATCGGTACACTGACCGGCGGCACACACCGGTTAATTCAACTATTTCAGTAACTTTATGATTAGCCTTGTATAAACCAATCACCTGTGCAATATCCTCACGCTTAGTAACTCTCCTGGACATCTTAAAGACCCAGAAATCACACGATAAAGCACTGTAACTCAGGCGTAAAATCACGGCACGTGGCGCTCACATGGGTACAATAACCTCCACCCACGCAACTTAAACAAAGACTGAGCGGTTGCTGCTATGTGACAGCTGTCGCCTAAGGGTTCCAGATGCCGTTAGAATTGTGACTAAATATTTCTGATCAAAATTTATCCCTATCTTGAGGGTAAAACGATTTGTGCTAAAAGTAAAGTCACAGCCCAATTTGTGCCTTAACCTTCCACGTAGAATATATATATATATATATATATATATATATATATATATATATATATATATTCTTTTTTATTTCTCGGTTTACGCGGATATTTTATACGTGGTTGGTCGTTTACGGCACCTGTCCAGACGCACAAATAATTATTCACGTGGTACATTCCTGAATTTACGCGGGAAGCAGCGCGGGCAAGGCTGCGCACTAGGACGCTCTTACGTCACCACTGACGTCAGACTCGTGACGATGACGTTTCGGACTGTGATTGGGCCACACATCCTTACCACCCACATATCCCCTCTGCCGAGAGCTGTGATTGGTCTAATTTTACTTGGCGTGCCCTGCCACCAGAGGGGATAAGTCGCTGAACTTAGAAGCGTCAGTCCCATTGTCTTCCGTCTCCGCGTATACAGTGCTCCCTCGTGCCCGCTAATCTGCTCAAAAATGGCTTCCGTTGGACCCCCACCACCCCCGAGAAACCTTGAACTACCTGGCACAAGCCATGGTTATGTGAAGGAGGTCATCGAGATTGCGGAGAAAATCACGCTCGTCCTTGCCAAAGACCCGGTCAATCATCGCTATGAAGTGTCTAATAACCTTCTGTCGAAATTTATGGAGCCGTATGTCCAGATGTATCACGACCACATCAATGCTAGCCATCAACGAAACATAACCGAGTTCTTCACCCACAACCCACCACAGCCACAACCAGCCCAAGTCAGTGATAGTGACGATATGGACTTTGAGGGGTTTGACGCCGAGGCCCTGCTTGCTTCTGGGGTGGATTGTGATACAGGTGATACAAGTGATACACCTGAGGGCCACTAATCTGCCCTCTGCTGTGTGCCCAGCCATCTCTTCTACTAACGTAAGTGTTAAAAAACCTAATATTATTGATATTTCTCTTAAATATCAATTGTGTGTGCATACCATCATAAAATTAAGATGTTATTTTTACTACAACATACGTATTGTGTCGGAAAAAGGGTAGTCTGGCGGTCGGCCCAGTCTCTATTTCAATTAATCCCACATGTTCTGTTATTTAGTTTACGCGTTTCGCGTTATACGTGGACCTCCGTGGGTTTAATTGACCGCGTAAAACTAGACTATATATATAAACTAAATAATTTTGTATTGTATTTACTGATGACGGAGGTGGTGGAGCGAGTGTGTGGTGGGTAGTGGAGCCGAGGAGGAGGGTGGCGAGTCACTGAGACCCGGCGGGTGGCTCCTCCTCCCGGTTTAAAACCTCCATTTTCGTAGCAAGGCTAATGGTCTTATGTTGCTTCTTCACAACACTAGAATCAGTAGCACTTGATGGGCGCTTTGAAGCCATTTTGAATGGTTAGAGTACAGTATTTAGAGCAAAAACACTTAAGCGCACAAGATTGATGTGGAAGCGTAACGGAGACTGGCTTGGCGTCGCTTGAGGACGCTGTGACGGTCCGCTAGTGAGAGGTAGCGCGGCCAGACAAGACAGGGTGATGCGCCGTAAAAAGTAGTCCATGACAGCGCAAAAACGACATTTAATTGAGTCATCGGGACGTTAAGCGAATTATTGGTATCTAAAGAGTAGCGACTTAGTGTCGAAAAAACATTAAGCAAGGCGACGTTTTATGAGGACTTACTGTATTTTGTATGTGGATGTTTCATATTTATTTCATGTGTTGTGACATACACGATGAAGTGAGGCATGTATCATATTTCAGTGATACTGTTAATCCCTTTATATTTACCTGTATTGTATTCAATATTTTCCTCTCATTCTTCCAAAGGCAAACGATGGTCGACTTTTGCAATGATTTGTAGTCATCTTGTATTCATCAGCATGTGGTGTAAAGTCAAAGTTATACTATGGACTTGCAGTATTCTTGAGTACATAATAAGTTCCTTGAGAGCTTCTCTGTACATACAGCAGATGTAAAGTACAAGAAAAAAGTTTGTAAGTTATTTCCAGAAAGTTGTTGTAATATTTACATTGTGTTTATCTTGTTAGGGAGAAGGGTCGTGAGAGAGAGCGGGAACGTGAGAGGGAGCGCCCAGACAAGAGAAAACCAGAGATGAAGGGAAAGGAAGAACTAAAGCTGGAAGAGGTATGTGCAAGTTTCTTTTTATAGAAAATAGCAACCTGTATTTCTCAACTTATATACAAACTGGACTGAGCAGGAAGTAGTCATATGTTGCATCACAATAAGCTCGTCAAAGATCTTTCCTGCAGTTATCATAGAACTAACAGAGCTAATTAAATGTCCTTAGAATCTTTAACATGCTTTTAAGAACTTGAAAATAACAACTTTTTCATTAACTCAAGTGTGGCTCTGGGAACTTAGGCTACTCAAGTACTGTAGCAGCAAGTTGACAGGTTCCCACCCCAGGGTGCACTGTACTTTCCATTGTTTTCCATTGTTATAATACTTGTATATTTTTTCAATTACAAGGTTATTGTGTAAATATTGAAGTATGGAGTACTGCTCTCATCTGGGGTGGCTCCTCTTCTGTCCTACTGTTAAATAGGGTAGAATCAAAGGCATTTCGTCTTATTAACTCTCCTCCTTTAGTTGATAATCTTTCTTCCCTTTCTCTTCGCTGCAATGTTGCTTCACGCTTTCTCTTTTACAGGCATCCTTTGTACCGCCGGCAAGGCTGTGGGCTCATAACACTTGTTTTGCCCGCTATGCCCACATTTTCTCTGTGGATGTTGGTCACACTAGAATAACCCATTAAGTAGAACATCTATATAATGCGAGATACGTTCCAAGAGAGGTCGCTTTAAATCGAAGTGTTGTTTCAATGGAATAATTAAGTTTGTTACTTGAGAGAAACACAAAATACTAAAAAGACTTTTATTAACTAATAAATCTGAGAAAAATATATGGCGTAGTGATATATATTTGCAGCAAGAACTCATAAATCAACACGGCTAAAATTAAGGGATGCGAAATGGTCTGTTTACTAGTGATCAGCCGATGTGAGAGAGTGATCGCGCTGGCGCCGCACACTGCCCGCCTCTCGTCTGGCTCACTCCATCCCTACCACTCACTTTCACTTTCCTCTCAACTTAGTTTTTCGTTACTTTATGCTATCAAAAAATAGATTTTCACCCACCTTTAGTTAGGCAAGTCATCCTCTGTAGATGCAGTATGTCTGTTTACGAGAGCGTCAGCGCGAGAACTGAGGATGTGGGAGGGTGGCGGGCAGCCTTGTAGCATGCCCAGAGAGGCGTCTGGCGGGAAACATAAGGTGCGAAACTTAAAATGGTGTGTATTTCCATATGACATGCCAGATTTGACTCACGTAAAATAGGAAAGATTCGCTTTAAATTGATACGGTGTCCGTAATTGTGGGTGTCGCCTAAAATCAATAATTTAAAATTGATTCGCTTTAAATTGACGTTCTACTGTAGTGCATCCTTCTTTCCTCACACAGCCAAACTGTGGAATGTTCTGCCTTCTTCTGTGTTTCCATGCTCATACAATCTATCTCACTTCAAAAAGCTGGTTTTTGGGCATCTTTGTGGTGTAGATTAATATAAACTTTTTCTTTTCTATTTAATTTCCTTTTACTCTTATTTTTTTGCCCCCTAGGCCCCATTGTGGGTCGATGACCTGTGCCCAGGTGGGCTATTCCCTGTTAAAAAAAAAAAATCATTTAGGGCGGTATGTTTGGTAAATATAATTCAGAAAGTGAGAAATACAGAATTAAGAAGTGAAGTGAAAGAAGTATGGGGCAGATCTGAGTAGGGTTTACTGAGGTATTGGGGAAATAAAAAGGAAAACAGATTTTTAAAACAAATGAATAAATCTGGGGTATTATGGTAGGAGTAAGGGGAGAAAACCATAGAAGATTGTTCTAAAAGTGAGGGGGGGGGGGCATTCAAGAAGGAACAATAGAGAAGTCAAATAATTGGAGTAGTTTATGGGTAAGGACTTATTGCTGAGATTACTGTATGGGGCATCTGATAATCAAAATAGATATTTAGGGCCTTGTTGAAAAGGAAAATATCAGAGCAGAACACAGTACAACAGTGAGAGTGACTTAATGAAGGGAGAGAGTGTATTTAATGGGAAATCCCTCTCTCTCTCTTTCTCTAAAATACATGTACATAATTACTATTTGCAGCTGGAGGAGCAAAGGGAAATGAAAGAGAAGAAAGCGAAGAAGGAGCCACTGTCCTTGGAAGAAATGGTGGCAAGAAAGAGAGCAGAAGAGGAAGCTCTCAGCCGTCCAAAGTTCTTGACCAAGGCAGAGAGGGAGACAGAAGCTCTCAAGAGGAGGCAAGATCAGGTATTACAAAAAATGTAACATATATGTTTGAGTATTATTGTTTAGGTTAAAAAGTAATGAACGCGATTTCCACAATGAAAAGTAACCTACACGTATGAATTGCATGCAGTCAGTCCCCGACTTACGATGGGGTTCCGGACCGAAAACCAGGTCGTAAGTCGAAAATGCAAAAATAATACATAGAAATTCTAAAATGAAATACGGTACAGTAAAAGTAATCAATAATGAAAAATGAATAAAGTGTTACGGTGCACTTACCTTTAATGTAGTCAGCTGAATGCACACAGGGCCTCAATAGTTTTTTAATTAAACATGGAGACTACATTAATTGGATGAAGCAGAGTAGGAGACAGGGCTGGGTGGGTCATCAATTTTGCTTTCTTCAGACAGGCTAACATACTTGCTTGTTAAAGGTATTGGATCATCTTCAGGGAGTGAAGAGGCAGCAGTGGTGGGGCATGAGGAGACAGCAGTAGGGGAGACTTCTTAAAATATATGTCCAATTTAGACTGCACAGTTTGCCTTTCCTTTTCATTGTAAATCTCCCTGTAGCAAGCAAGTGCATCTGGCTCATTCTGTCAACTTTTGCAAAACTCTCAACATTTTTATTCATTTCTTCAAACATTTGCATCCCTTTATTAATAGTAGCAAATGCCTCTGCCTTGGCCTTCAAAATTTTTGATATCGTCGAGTGAGAGAAGCCAAGGTCACGTGAAATAGTTGCTACTGTTTTTCCATTTTCATATTGCATTATTATTTTCATTTTCATCTCAAAAGTAATTGACTGTCTCCTTTTCTTATCAGCACCACGAGAACTCTCACTTTTACGCTTGCCAGCCATTTTAAAAGGAATTGGAAACAAAAAATATTTCAGTACACATCGCTATCACTAGCAACAACGATGGCCAAATACCAACTGAGCGCCCTACGGCATGGATGCTGTACACCACGAGGCGGCCCAGCCCGCGCTGTCGTATGGGACAGAAACGTTTCGGTACTAGAAAATACATAATTGAAAAATATTTTATACGACTAAGGTGGTCGTATGTCCGGGTTGTCGTAAGTCGAGGAGTACCTGTGTGTTCCTCCACCCCTCAAAATTGAACCAATTACAAATGTGATTCTTATTAATTAGCACAGTAATTTGGAATACTCCCAATAATGGACATCTTTTTGTCCGATGTGATTAGCAGACTTGGCCAGTAAGACCTAGTATGGGGAACATTGTTCGTTATTGACCACATTCGTAGTTGGTGCATGTTGAAACTTGCTAGACTCACCACAGCTGACAATGTTTACAGGACGAAGCCAAACAACACACTGATGCTGGTACATATCTATACACAGAGCTTATGTAAGTTGAAGTCTCCTGAGGATGGGCATCACTTATTACTGCTTTATTATTTCCTCTTAAGCACATTTTATTAAAAAGTGGGATGGCCGACACTGAAGTGAAAAGAATGTGGAACAGATGACAGAGCATGATTGGCATATTTTCAGAGAAGATTACAATATTGCAATTAAGGGAGGACGCATTTCTAAGGTAATACAATACAGTGGTCCCTCGGTTAACGAACACAATTCGTTACACAGAGTCATTCGTTAACCGAATCCATTGTTTCAATGGGATATTGGGTAATTGGTTCCAGCTCACAGAAAACTACATACAAAGTAAAAAAAAAAGTGCAGTAAAGTACACTTACTTTGTGGTGTGTATGTAGAAGGTTCCTGGTTGATGATGATGATGGGAATTAGAAGTGGGGGTGGAGGAGAAGAGAGAAAAGAAGGAAGTGGGGATGGAGGAGAAATCACCTTTCAGGGGACCCATGCTTGATGCAGTCATTTCACCAATAAAATTTTAAGTTCACTAGGTGTAATTCAAGATTATTTTCTTTAAATCAACACTGCACTGCGCTATATATTATCAATATGTTAACTAAATTTCAGAATGACCAATAATTTTAATGTAAAAATGCATAAATATTCAAGACACCAACAAAATCGATGTTCACTCCACTGTAAACAAAGCCAAACTGACGCCCGGTGGGTGAGTCAGGCGGCTGATGGGCGTACAAAAAAATAGTACCCTGTACTGCATGTACAGTGGTCCCTAATTTGCGAACCCAATTCGTTCCAGAAGGTCATTCGTTAACCGAAACCATTGTTTCAATGGGATTTTGGGTAATTGGTTCCAGCTCACCGAAAATTACATACAAACTAAAAATAAATGCAGTAAAGTACACTTACTTTGAGGTATGCATGTAGAAGGTGCCTGGTTGATGATGATGATGATGATGATGGGAATTAGAATGGGGTTGGTGGAGAAGGGAGAAGAGAATGCATTGGGGGGGGGAAGAGAAGCCACCCCATGCTTCATGTCACCATTTCACCATAAAATTTTAGTTCACTTGGTGTAATTCAAGATTATTTTCTTTAAATCAACACTGCATTATATATTGTCAATATGTAAAATAAACTTCAGAATGACCAATAATTGTACTGTAAAAACGTAAAAATAGTTTATGTTCAAGAGAGTCTCAAGCAAGAAGCTTCCTCCACTGAGCAGGGACACACACTGACGCCATTTTGGGTGTGTTGAGTGGTTGTTTGGCGCGCTAAAAGCTAGTTCCCTGTAGGAACGGATTCTACTACGAATAATCCTATAACGAACGGTTTTACCAATAAAATTGAGAATGCTATAACGAACGAAACTCCTACAACGAACGCTGATGAATACGGGACTATTTCGTCCTGCGCATGAATATCATTGTACCGCAGCTCACAGCAAGAGCATCAGGCGCCATATTGGTTCATTGTGTGGTCAGTGCACCAGTGAACTTGTTGAAATTTTGTCTTTTGATGTGGAAATTCGTGTTATTTTTATAACTATTTTGTTATACAAGTGTACAATTGTAACAATGTATCGTCAAAAGCGAGTGAGAAAGCTAATAACCCTTGAAACTAAGAAAGAAATTATAAATAAACAGACAAAGTGCCTGTAAGACAGTCACCAAAGAGGGCTAGGAAGGATGACTCTTCTCCTTCCACCTCTTCTCCATAATTCTCTCCTCCCCCCCTCCCCCTCTGCCTCCTGTCCTGCATGCTGAACAACACTAAGGTAAGATAAAGTACCGTATTTTTTACAATTTGCACAGAAATTTTTCAGTGTTAAGTTGTTGTATTTGGGGGGCCTGGAACGGATAAATCCTATAACGAACAAGGTTCTAGAACCGACTAGATTCGTTATAGCATACCCCACTACTTCAATTATGTTAAATAATTGTTAAAATGACTAAAAATTTTAAAATAAGACTTGGAAAATTTTTGAATAGTACAACCTTCTTGATATTTACTCAAATGGTAACGAATTTAAGCCCTAAAACCGATTACTGTATTGGCGGACTAATACTACAGCTGGTGAGCAGGCGAAAACATGTTGGGAAAAATTCGTAAGGAATTCGTTAACCGAAATTTTTTCGTTAACCGAAGTGAAGAATCTTATGGAAGGCAAGTCGTTAACCGAAATTTCGTTAACCGAGGGATCACTGTATTATCAATATGTTAACTAAATTTTAAAATGACTGTTAATTTTAATATAAAAAATGAAAAAAATATTAAAGAGCACAACTTTCTTGACATTTACTCCACTGGAAATGAATGTAAACATAGAACAGAGTACTGAATTGGCAGACTAGCTCATCAGTTGATGCTCACAACAAAACGTGTTTGTCGTAAGGATTTCGTTAATCAAAGTTTTTTTCGTTAACCGAATTGAAAATCCTTATGGGAGGTAAATCGTTAACCGAAATTTCGTTAATCGAACCTTTCATTAACCGAGGGACCACTGTACAAATATACAGTATATTCTGTACTTTACATATTGATAGCCCAGTGCAGTTGAGCCTCCCAGCTGATGTGTAGTGTTTAGATTTACCTGTATATTTAAATAACTTTTTATATGGTGGGTTTGTATTAAAAATAGTAATTAATTAAATATACATTACTGTAATAACTGTTTTTTAATTAAATGTGCTTAGAGGATATATTAGGGACTTTAACTTACTTAACCTCACTGTGTAGTTATGTACTGTACGAGCATCAGTGTATTTGGCTTCGTCCTGTAAACATTGTCACAATTTTTTGTATTATATCTGTTATATTTTTGTGTTACACTGACATCTTTATAGCAGACTAGCATAAAGAAGTGTAAATACTGAAGCCCCATAATTAAGGAAAGTTTAATTTCTATATACGTACTCTACAAATATGGTATTCATTTCCATGTGAGATATGCATGTGTGAAACTTTGATGTACTGTATTAATTTATGTACACCAAAGGAAAAGGGAAACCTTCTTTTTAAGGGAATTCTCCCAATAAGAAGTAGGGCTTGCATGAATTATTCCAGTATTAGGACAGTTTACTAGACTAATAATTTGAAGATCTGATTGTACATATTACTAGTCCAAAAGATTACCCACTGTATATACAGGTAATATTTGTTTCTAGAAATAAATGCAGCTCGTTCTGTAGATAAACCTACAATCATATGAATTTATTTTTGTATCTTATTTCTTAACATGTCAATGTGTTTTCTTCATGCCTTCATGTATTCAATCATACTAGAATCCATAGTACAGTACTAACAAACAAAAGTGGGTTCTAAAGAGTCAGTTATCCATCATTTTAGACTAAAACGGTAAGTATAGTAGAAGTAGTGACACCAAATTTTGAAACTTCAAAATGAAGAAAAGATGTAGCTACCATTGCTGGAGTTGATAATTTCATTGCTTATGTTTTCTTTATAGATTGAGGAAATGCGTAAGCGACAAGATGATGAGAGAAAAGCCAGAGAATCTATGTATCAGGATGGTCGACGAGAACTAGAGCAAGCACTACGACAGGAAGATCCTCGAGAGCGCGATCGCCACCGTCGAGATCGTGAACCAAGAGAGAATAAGGAGGATATTGAGTTAGAAAGGAAAAAGCAGCTTGAGCGAGATGCTGTTAATGAAAGGTATCTTGGTATTGTGAAAAAGAAGAAAAGGATTCGTAGGTTGAATGACCGAAAGTTTGTGTTTGACTGGGATGCTGGTGAAGATACTTCAGTGGACTACAATGAACTGTACATAAATAAGCATCTAGTTCACTTCTTTGGACGTGGACATTTTGGTGGATTAGATTTGAAAGAACAAAAGAAAGTTCAGTCAAAGTTCTATGGAAATTATATTGAGCACCGTCGTACTCAGGCTGACAAAGACCAAGAGTTGATTCGCATTAGGAAGGAGCAGAAGAAAGAAGACAAGAAGAAATGGGATGACCGACACTGGAGTGAAAAGAATGTGGAACAGATGACAGAACGTGATTGGCGTATTTTCAGAGAAGATTACAATATTGCAATTAAGGGAGGGCGCATTCCTAATCCAATCCGTAGGTGGTCAGAGTCCAACATTAAAAAAGCTATTCTGGATATTATTGCCAGTGTTGGATACCAAGACCCAACACCAATTCAAAGACAGGCTATTCCTATTGGTTTACAGAACAGAGATATCATTGGTGTTGCCGAGACAGGTTCTGGTAAGACCTTAGCATTCCTCATTCCCCTTTTGGAATGGATTCAGTCTCTTCCAAAAATTGCTCGATTAGAGGATGCTGACCAGGGGCCTTATGCACTAGTTATGGCTCCAACTCGTGAGTTGGCCCAACAGATTGAAGAAGAAACTACAAAGTTTGGAGGACCCCTGGGAATCCGCACAGTAGCTGTCATTGGTGGTTTGTCACGTGAAGAGCAGGGTATGAAGTTGCGAATGGGTTGTGAAATTGTTATTGCCACTCCTGGCCGTCTTGTTGATGTACTTGAAAATCGTTACCTCGTGTTGAATCAGTGTACATATGTTGTCTTTGACGAAGCTGACAAGATGATTGACATGGGTTTTGAGCCAGATGTTCAGAAAATCTTAAAGTTCATGCCAGTGACTAATGAAAAACCAGACACTGAAGATGCTGAGGATGAAGACAAGTTGCTACAAAATTTCCTTTCAAAACACAAATATAGGCAAACTGTTATGTTTACAGCTACTATGCCCCCATCTGTGGAAAGAATGGCCAGGCAATACCTTAGACGACCTGCCTATGTGTATATTGGTTCTATAGGAAAACCTGTGGAACGTGTCGAACAGGTCGTGTTTATGGTCAGTGAACAGGAGAAGCGTAAGAAGTTGCTTGATCTCTTGAAACGAGGCATTACACCTCCAGTGCTTATTTTCGTCAATCAGAAGAAGGGTGCGGATGTTTTGGCCCGAGGGTTAGAGAAGTTGGGTCACAATGCCACAACTCTCCATGGTGGCAAAGGCCAAGAACAGAGAGAACATGCTCTTGCAAACCTTAAGTCTGGAGCTAAGGATATCCTTGTGGCTACAGATGTGGCTGGTCGTGGTATTGACATCAAGGATGTTTCTCTTGTTATCAACTATGACATGGCCAAAAACATTGAAGATTACACTCACAGAATTGGTCGTACAGGTCGTGCCGGAAAGCACGGAAAGGCCATATCTTTCTTGACCAAGGAGGATTCTCACCTCTTCTATGAGCTGAAGCAGCTAATGTTAACATCACCAGTGTCTTCATGCCCCCCAGAGCTGGCTAATCATCATGAGGCCCAACACAAGCCTGGCACAGTTATGACCAAGAAGCGAAGGGAGGAAAAAATATTTGCTTAATCTAAGTTATAAAGTGACTCTTTCATAATTTACACTGTAATCATCTACAGGATGATGTTAAATATACTTGAAGTGTGGTTTTTAAGTATGACTGAACACTTGTGATTTGGCAATGTTTAGTCATACAAATGAGAAGAATATTTCTATAAGATTTCTATAAGCAAGCTATGATTTGGTTATACTGTAGTTATATATATACTGTATTTAAATTTTGTATGAGCAGATAAGTACAGAAAGTACCTGACACTACAACAAGGACTATATAAAAAGTTAAAGAAGTTCTCTATATAAGTTTATAATTTACCACAGTAACAGTGATTAGTGTTCACTTCATCTTTAATGCAGTTTGGACTAAATGTTTTTTTATTAACATATGATAATACAAATGAGCAACATTAGTATTGTCTGTCTTACCCAACACAATAAGGTGTTGTTGCCTTTTTTTCTATTCACTGGCATAAATATGTATGTAAAATGAAAATATTAAAGAATTTAGATTACAACTATTTTTTATGGAACTCTCATTCGTGTGAGGCCCTCTTGTGTCTGTCAATTGTTGTTTCAAGACGTACATTTGATAATCATGTCTTTCACTGTATAATAATCTTTACATAGCTAAAGCAGTCATTAGGCAAGTTACTGCCAATATGCAGACAGTGTGAGAGACTGGATAGGAACAAGAGTGAATGAGTATCATAATGAGAGTGGGTGTTTATACTGATTTTAATTAGATATATAACTCCCAAACAATAGCTGATTTCCTTTTCTTTTATCCCAAATCCGTGTTCTCAGTTCATTAGTATCAATGTGATGTATGAATTAGTGAATGGGGTAACTCGAACATAAAACAAATTTCTACCAATCCTCATACATTTTGCACACCTCAGTACTGGTGAGAACACAGTATATACCCGGTACAGGTAGTAGTCCCTGCTAAACATGAGTTCGCACAAAACAAAATATACTTTAGCATGAGGAACCATGACAGGTTGTCTAATTCATAAAAAATTTCTTGATCAGAAGTCAGATGCGAGGTTGTACTGTGTTTCATTACCCCTTGAGGTCAACGATATATATACTTTACTGTATGCTGTGATCTTTTTATTCTGTAGCTTTTGTCAATATCCCCAGAATTACTTGGTTTTGTGGTTTTCATGCCATATTGGGCGAGTTTTTGGTCCAATTTTGGTTGAGGTGGGTTGGTGGCTTTTGGCTCTTTTTCTACTGAAGTTAACGTTTTTAAGGGTTGCTTATTGAATAGTGTTATATCTAATAAATATATAACCAGTGAAAAAAATTTGGTTTTGTTTCTTAATGTTTTGACAATGGCTACTTTCTGACCTGACAGTCTCCTGAGGTTGACTAAGTGTCACTCAGTAACTCGAGGACCCCTCCCCTGAGTCTCTCCCACACCACAAACAGTTGTACCTGGACTTAGTTACCCTCCAAGACACTCCAGACAACACGGCAGCAGTCAACGAGGAATACCCTGACGATGATCTGTTGGAGTATTGTACAAATTTTCCTCGCCAACTATCCCCCTACACCACTTCACAAGCAGACAAGTATCAGCATTCATTGTAAGTGTTTGTAGAAGTACTGTACAGTGGTTATTTAACCCCTTGGGTATGAGGGCTCTGCTGAATATAATCATCTGGCATTAGACAAATAAAATATTAAAAGTGGCATCCAGTAGTGAAAGGATCAACAAAACTGTACTAGTAACATTCATGTGATAATAATACACTTTTTACTTCATACCATTTATATTTGTGTTCATTGCTGTGTGGAAGTCAGAGTGATGTCTCCGCTCCACCTTCAAAAGTCCCCCTAGCCTCGAAGGTGACATGTGATGATGGCCAGGCTTGTTCTGAATGATGTGGCGAGTGTTGTTTAAGTGTGTTTTATGTTTATTATTAGTGTAGGATTTTTATTGTTAATTTATTTATTTATTCATTAATTGTTATTTTTATTATTTTTATATATACAATAAAACCTCGATTAACCGACTTTCGGATTAACCGTCAATCCCGAACTCCTAAAAAAAAAAAAAAAAAAAATTTTTACAGGGATTAGCCCACCCGGGCATAGGTCACTGACCCACATCGGGGCCTGGGGGGCGATAATGTAATAATATTAATAATGATAATGATAATAATAATACAGTAGTAATAAAAACCATAAATGCAAAAATGAAAACAAAATCCAGAGTGAGAAACAATATATGTATGTTGTGTTGTCAATAGTAAGAGAAGCAATTGAGACCCTGCAATTGTGTGAAAATGAGGTAGCAAGTCAGATCAGCAACCTGAGACTTGGTCACAATTTTTGTGATGACATTCTTTGACTTTTCCATTTTTTATTCACGGTTTCTGTGCTGGTTCATATTTATTTACTAAAGTGGTTAATGTTTTAAAACAAATTCTATTGAAATATGAATGGCAAATGAACAAAAATGAATAGAGGGAATTAAATGAGGTAGGTTAGGGAAAGGTACTTTGAAAATGTATGTTTTATTTCCGTAGACTTTATGTACTATTAACCGACCTTACGGATTATCCGTCGGCCCCTTCCCCCCATATATGTGGGTTAATCGAGGTTTTACTATATATATATATATAGATATATATAGATATATATAGATATCTATATATATCTATATATATCTATATATATATATATATATATATACAGTCAACCTCGCACGGGTCCCACTTTACGCTGCTTTCATCGCTACTCCTGCCGAACACGGAATGCTCACTTTCCGCGGTGTGTGTACCCTTTTACGCGGAGAGCGGCGCAAGCAGTGTGCGCACAAGGTCGCCCAGTCATCAAAACATTACCGAGTTCTTCACCCACCACCCACTACAGCTGGCCCAAGTCAGTGATAGTGATAATGATAGTGAGGATATGGACTTATATGGACTTTGAGAGGTTTGACAAAGAGGCCCTGCAAGCCTCTGTGGTGGATAGTGATACAAGTGATACAGGTGAGGGCCAATAATTATTGGCAGAGGGCAGATTATAATCTGCCCTCTGCCTCGGAACCAACCGCCCATCCCCGTGTGCCCAGCCATCTTTTCTACTAATGTAAGTGTTAAAAAACCTAATATTATTGATATTTCTCTTAATTATTAATTGTGTGTGCATACCATCATAAAATTAAGAAGTTATTTTTACTACAACGCAGGTATTGTGTCTGAAAAAGTGGAGTTTTGGGGATCGGCCCGGTCTCTATTTCAATTAATCCCATATGTTATGTTGTTCACTTTACGCGTTTCTCACTTTACGCGGGCCGCCGTGGGTTCAATTGACCGTGTAAAGTGAGGGTTCACTGGTTTTTTTGTGTGTGTGTGTGTGTGTGTGTGTGTGTGTGTGTGTGTGTGATATATGTGGGTGTCAGACTAGCTGGGGAACATATCCCATTGAACCCCATGTTATAATGATCTTGATTTACGATATTTCAACCTGCAATGGCTTTTTCAGGAACTTAACCTCATCATAAATAGGAGGGTACCTGTACTTGGTATTAGTTTGATATACTGTACTGTAGTTTAAGTTCCACAATATATAATACTGTACTGTACAAAAGAAAAAAAAGCCTGTCTGTTAACGTCTCTATGGATTTTAACCTCTAAACTGCGATGACCCTCATATGAGAACAGCCCTTTTCTTTAAATGAGCACCACAGTTCTACTGCATAGGTCTCTCTGTTGCCTTTCTTATCATAGAAAACCCACATTTGTTACCGATAGCGAGTCTCTCCCCCTCCATCCCTGTGCTCCAACCTTTGCCCCCTAGTAGTTTGGGCCCCCTCACAGTACTTTTATTTTTTATTCATCTGTATGCATATGTATAATTTTTTTAGAATACTGTACAATGTAACAGTGGCAGTTGTGGAACAGATAAAACTGTCTTAAAGCCCTTACTAAATTTAAAAAGAATACATGATACTGTACCTCATAACCATTTGGTTTTATGATGTTGAAACAAAACAATGGCAACTCTCCATTCTTTCCTCACTGTGGCTTCTCTGGTTCCTCAAGTTTCTTTGCATAACTATGCATTTTATTCTTGCTCTTCTTGATATTATAAAATTGACTTGTACTCATCTTGAACTCATGCCAAGTCTTGCATAATGAACTGCCATTCTTGATTCTATTCAGCACTTTGAACTTATAAACAATTGACAAACTTTTGTATTTTCCTCTTAAGTTTCAATAAAGTCTTCATAGCAGTTCCTGGTAGGACTTTTGTTAGAAGATACAGTATTATGAAACACTTAAGACTTCCAGATGCAGAAAATTAAAAAAGTTTATCAAAGTGAAGGACCGTATTTCTTCTCACAATGGAATATATACTGTACCCATGATAAATGATAGATGTTACCTCCACCAATCCCTAGGCGATGGTACACTACATACATACCATATGGCCCAATTCAGTTTCATAATTTATTTGTCAAAATAAGGTTTGAGGTTTTTATTTTAAAGAATGGCCAAATTATGACATATTGTACTGTACATGTATTACAAATTATTGAAGTTTTAGTGTGCATTATCTTAACCTTGTCATATTCAGTGATAGTGGCTTCATTGGTAAGGCTTTCTATTGTACTGAGTAGGGTGGTAGTTTGTGTGATATATGATATCATTCCAGGGATGTCCCAAGACAGACTGGCATGTTGTCAGCAGACCACAACTTCACTAAATTAACTCACCACTTGGCTTAATCAAAGATCCAAATTTCACTGAAGAATTTTATTCACAGATTACTACAACTTACTACAGTACAGTACAGTATATGGTATGCTGAACAGAATTCTACAGTATATTATAAATACAGTACTGTAGTATATTGAAAAAATATAAATCCTGAAATATCATATAAATAAATATTGAAAATCACCAGAAACCGTTAACATTAATCCCTGAAGGTTTTATTGAATGTACAGTCAGAACCATTTTAGTCTTGTTACAGTGGGGTATGCTATAATGAACGGATCCTACTACGAATATTCCTATAACGAACGGTTTTACCTATAAAATTGAGAATGCTATAACGAACGCAACTCCTACAACGAACGCGGATGAATACGGGACTATTTCGCCTGGCGCATGAATATTGTTGTACCGCGACCCACAACAAGAGCGTCAGGCGCCATCTTTGTCTCATTGTGTAGCCAGTGCACCACTGTTATTGTTGAAATTTCGTCTTTTGATGTGGAAATTCGCGTTATTTGTATAACTATTTTGTTATACAAGTATACAATTGTAACAATGAGTCGTCCAAAGCGAGTGAGAAAGCTAATAACCCTTGAAACTAAGAAAGAAATTATAAAGAAACGTGAGAATGGAAGAAGCATTGCGAAACTTAGTGATGAATATGGGATGGCTAAATCGACTATATGTACGATTTTGAAGAATAAAGAGGAGTTAAAAACTGTGCAAGTGGCTAAGGGAATCTTTAGACTTAGCAAAGCAAGGTGTAATGTGATTGAAGAGATGGAAAATTTACTCTTAGTGTGGATAAAGGAGAAAGAAATGGCAGGTGGTAACATTAGTGAAGCTATAATTTGTGAGAAGGCTAAACAATTGTTTGAGGACCTTAAAGCCAAGACTCCCAGTGGAAGTGATAGTGATGTGCCAGTGTTTAGGGGTACCTGCATGCTGAATAACACTAAGGTAAGATAAAGTACCGTATTTTTTACATTTTCCACAGAATTTTTTCAGTGTTAAGTGGTTGTATTTGGGGGCCTGGAACAGATTAATCCTATAACGAACGAATGCTATAACGAACGAGGTTCTGGAACCAATTACGTTCGTTATAGCATACCCCACTGTACTTGTTTCATGAGGACATGACTCATTTAGTTTTCATTACAAATTTCTTGAATCTGATGTTTGTTGAATGATGAATTTACTTTTAATTACAGTACTGCAAATATTACTTCTGTAAATCTGTCTGTCTTCAGCAGAGACAACTTAGTACAGTATGTACTAAATGAATTAATATGGAATCTCAGTGCCATTCCAGGCATAATATTTACCAGTATCTGTAATACTTAGTTTATCAATGATTGTCAAGAGATAGTTTACTGAATGTGTTGGTGAAAAGAGGCTACCCTCTGGCACATTCTTGTGATAAGGCCGAGACAGGTCTGTATTCACTGTTCCTGAAATAAAAAAGTAAAACAATTACATAGTTATTTTAGGACTGTAGTTCTTTTAATTAAAGAAAATAGTAATTCTGGGTAATGCAATGCACTGGTAAGATATTTTGCAGTGGTCCACAGCATAACAAATTTATATGCTCAACAAAGTTGTTGAACATTTCTGGATGAAAATTCCAACACATATATACTGTAATACATAGCACACCAACAGTACAGTATTGAAAATTAATGTTTCTAAGAATTGTTAACTTCCAAAATCTGTGTTCCATCACACTCACTATTATACTGCCAATTTTGAGCATGAATTTCTTGGGTTAATAATGACTTACTGTACACTATCACAGCCCATGCCATTGCTTAGTCATTGTTCCTGTCTGCTATTTGTAATATACAGTGTACCTACTGTATTTATATAAAGTGACATTATAATGACATCCAAAAGGCTCAGAGTACTAGTGCTTGATGTAGTGTTGATAAGCTTTTGTAAATATAGTTTTAACAATGTTACAGTGAAAGTGTACCAAATTCTTGGCCAATTTTCTGTGAAAAGGCCAAACTCATCATCAAAAAACACAAAAAAGTGTGACTTTTCAACTCGATGGCATCCATTTCTTCAAATCAATTGGTGAGAAATTCCCTTTTAAAGATATATTCAGATCAAATTTGTGGCCCATGTTTCTAAAAGCTGTAAGAATACAAAATCCACTTTGTTCGGTCCAAGGATTACAGATTTTTTATATTGTACTGCATACATACAGAGCTGTTCTGTTATAGATGTCATTATTCTCTAAATTAAACGTTTTGAAGTCAATAATATATACTGTACAAATACAAGTATCCTTTGCTATACGAATGCTCGTTTTATGAAAATTCACATTTATGAATTTCTTAAATTACCACCTCTTTTTCAGTGAACAAAAGCTTCCCCTGTTTATATGAACTTTGATCCAAGGAAAATTCAAAACTTGCCCTAGGCCTCTCCCTACCAGGCTGAGGTGTGAACTCTGTTATGGTTATTTTTCAACTTGTAATTTTGGTTAGATATAAAAAACTTTCTTCAATTTTTTTTTCTTTTTACTCGGGTACAATCCTACATACAAAATGTGAAAAAAAAAATCATCTTTTCTAAAGCATAAAAGGGAATAAACATTTCTTCATGTGCCAGCGAGAGTTAGCAGACTGAGTAGGGGAGTTATGGTTATTTTCAACACGTAAATTCAGATGGATAAACTTGACTTTTTTTCTTTTTCTTTTTTTTTTTACTCAGTTACATGCATGCACAATCTTACATACATAATGTGCCAAAATTTTTAAATAAATAACTATCATAAGGTCAAAAACATAAAGAGAATAAACATTTCTTTGTGTGCAGGAGGGGAAAACAGAGTGTAGCACCTCTGTTGCTAAGGGTCAGCCGAGGCAGCATCCCAGCTGGGCTGCATTGCTGTGGCAAAGCATAAGGCCATGCAGTCAGTTTCTCTGTAAATGGAAGTTATGTTAAACTTTAATTTACCTTTTCCTTAATGGTTTTAGCTACAGTACATAATTTTGTCTAGAGAATTTTATAAACGTTTTAAATGTGTTAGGTAGTAAATTACAGGACAGTAATTGTATACTATTTATCATAAGTTAGATAAGTTCTTTTCTTTTATCCTCTTCACCACTGATTGGCTCGTTAGCCGCTTGGTCAATCGGTCATGTCTCTGTCACGCACTGTTGGCAAGTACTAGTCATGCACTGGCTCTCTGTTACACACTGTTGGCAGGTACTGGGCATGCACCGGCTCCTGAATGTACTTGAACCTGCTCCAGTGTTGGTCAAGTCTGGTCTTGAAAGAACTCGCACTCGGTGCCGACACAACACTTTCTGGTAGATTGTTCCAAGAGTTCACAACTCTAACTCCGAAAAAGTTTGCCCTCACAGTTTTCTGGACTTGCGGCTTCTTCAATCTTGAGCTGTGACCCCTTGTGGGGCGAGTGTCTGCCAGCTCCAAGTAAAGACACTCGACTGAGTAGTGCCCCTTGAGATGCTTATACACCTCAATTAGGTCACCCCTTGCCCGACTGTATTATAAGCTATACAAGTTCAAGCGCTCCAATCTCTCAGGGTAGTTGAGGTGCCGATTTAATGTTTTTTGGGTATGATATTGAAGTTTCTTGTCATTGGGGTACCGAACCCTATTTTTCCCCACATGATAAGAAAATTCACTTTACGAATGTTCTTTCAGGAACCTAACTCATTCATATAGTGAGGGATACCTGTACAGTACAGTATACAGATTCTCAAAAATATCTAACAATACAATTCAATACTGTATTTAGGATTATTAAAAAACAGTGCCATGAAAAAATATATTTGGAGGAGAGACAAATAGAAGATGCATATGTACCGTAAATAAAAAATCACACGTTATCTATTGGAGGTTAGTATGACAGATGAGATTTTCTTTGCTTGTTGCCGGCACTTTGGGGAAGTATTCATCGGCTGGTTGAGTGGATTTTTTTTTTTCTTAATTTTTTTAATTGTTTTGGCAGGGAAAGGAATCCTTGGATGTGTTGTTTAATCTCCACATTGTTCCTCATATAAAATCTTTCATTTTCTAGAGAATACTGGAGAAAACCAGAGTAATGTACCTGGAGAAAACCTGTGATGTTGGATAGGGTCACACTGAATAAGACCTTTCACATCTGATCCAGGGATTTAACCCAGGATGTACCACCAAATTAAAAAAAATATTTACATTGCACTCTGACTCTGAATGTAGCAAAAAGTTTATCATATGCAGATAATAAAAAATTAAATAAGTAGAAGCATTCAAAGAACTTACCTGGATGGAGAGCCACACAGATAACTTTCCTCTTTCCTCTACCCAGTTCTATACTGAGGTTTTTAGTGGCCATGTTGAGGGCAGATTTTGACATTCTGTAGCTGTACCATCCTCCCAACTCATTATCTGGAGGTAATTAAGTTCAATATAACTTCTTCACAAGATAACACTATCATATCTGTGATGCCAATTCAAATATCTGTACAGTATTGAACTCTTCAAAATATTCCCGCTTGAAACACATAAACTACAGGGTGTTGTCAAGTGACCTGTGATACCTCAAGCAAAACACCCCCACCAACATTTTAATATAATGATAATGATATTGCTTAGTGAAGACAATACCTGATTCAAATGAAATATAAACTCAACATTATTTCTGTTCTTGAGATTAATTACTTTAGGAGAAATATCTGAGGTTCTTTGGATCTTATCAAGAATTAAAGCTGAATTGTGATAATCTGAAGGCTGCATCTCTTATTGTGAATACTTCTGGTATTTATTTTTATACACACTTCACTCTGTAGTCCTCTACCTGGCATAAACCCAAATTGCATTTCATTTATGTCCACACACTCCCTTATCAATGTCTCAATCACTCTTTCTACAACTTTCATAACTGGATCTAGCAGTTTCAGGCCCCTGTAGTTCCAGCATTTGAGAGCTTCACCTTTACCCATACAGGGTATAATAAGTAGTATTCACAATCACACTATTTCTCTAGTCATATGGAACAGTACATTTCCATCATGATTCTATTAGTCAATTTGGTTCTACTACCCCTCGGCTGCCTCTATCCCATTTGTACTCCTCATTCAGTAATCAGTTGTAGTATTTTCTCCAGGTATCCCTGATTTCCTCGTTATCAACAACCATGTTACCGTGGTAATTTCTCACACACAGCTCACCAACAACATCCTTGTTTCTATCCACTATTTACCTGATTATCCTGAAAATTTCTCTTGCATCTGCACTGTTCAACAAGTCAGTGAATATGTCCCATTTGTGTTTCTTTGCCTTGCAAACCTCTCTTCTGGCCCCGTTATATTATTCGCAAAACGATATTCACTTATTGAATGGTTTTCAAGTAACCTAACTCATTCGTATAGTGAGGATACCTGTATGACAAAATGTCAGAACCCCCATAGTTTCCTGGTTACAGCACTTGAAAAATGTCATGTTAATATTGGTGAGAGTGGAGTGAAACGGCCATAGAAGTGTGTTTAAATTTATGCACATAATACTACACAGTGAGATACATTTACATTATTACAGTAAATGTTCAAAATCCCTCCTCTCTCTCATCCAATATATTGCCCCAGCACATGCTCCAGTGTTACCAGGAATACTTCCAATCCTTTCACAATTGTTACAAACTCATGGCCACAATTCATCTCATGTTTGGATCTGTTGCATAAATTAAGTTCTTTGAGTGAAATTTTCCTTTATAATTGTCTCAATACACCCTGTAATTATAAATAATTTAGAGAATCACCTCAGTACAAGTATATATTTACACACACTCTCTCTTTTACAGTAGAGAGTATATACTGATCCTTCAGACAATGAAACCTGCTCAAGAGTATGTCAAGTCCCTGCACAAGGACAGGCTCTTCAGGGGGTGTGCTATTGGAATTATCAAGTCACTTATCTCCTACTTTCAGCTATAAAATAAGATTTCACACTTCCCTCATGTTTATGCACAGTTCTTGAAATCCTTTTACATGTAATTCTCTTTATATAATGTTCTAGCCATTGTAATGAAGAATGGAATACAGTATAAACAAAAGTGGAACAGTATAGAACTAAAAGATCCACTATCAATCTCACGCTACCCTCACCAATGAAGTGTGGAATACTGTACATGCATAAAGTCTTCTTAAAGTTAAAAACAATTTAATTTCACCACTACTCCTTTTGAGTGACAAAGTGAATTGAAACTTCCAAACTGCTTAAATACTGTACTTCACAGTGACAAATGTGTCACCATGAACAACTAACCCCTTATTGATCCAACTCTTGCCGACATGTTGACGAGAACTGCAGCATGGTGTTGCTTGGGATCATCTGTCTGGTGGCCAATAGTCCCTGCACCAGCCATCAGGTGTTGACTGAAGTGTTTTGCCATCATCAGTGGCCCAAGGGTGTTAACAGCTAATGTCTCTTCCAATCCCTATTAAAGCAGTGGAGCATAAAAAAAAATTATTTACAATAATTGTATGTTTCGCATTCAAATTTTATTAAAACACATATAAAGTACAGTACTTGCCTTCAATGTAACATCCTTTAAACGAGTTTCACCTCTTCCTGTTGGACTTAGGATACCACTACAGTTGATAAGTAGTTCAAGTCTGCTGGCATGAACATTGTGTACATGCTGAGCCGCACGCTGTATGGCTGCCTCATCTGTGACATCCAGCTGTACAACATCCACTAGGTCAGGATATTGTCCCTATAAAATCACAAAAAGTTTTCTTATAAAGCTCAGAAGTAACCAAAATTCTTAAGTGTAAACACAATCACCTCCCTTCCAACACTTTGAAAATTAAGCTTTTTAGTCTGGACATCATGGAGACAAAAGTCAACAGCCTGATATTTGATTGAATAAAACGCAATAAACTTACAAATGTTTTGCATATACAGTGGGAATCAGGAAGCTGCAGTGTTAATAAGTACTGTACTGATCAGTAATCCATTGCCAACAGTGGGTTTACCTTCCACAGTTTTGAGGATACATGTTCTATATATATATATTGTACAGGGGTCTCTGTTTATCGTCATACTGTACTTGTCTTCCTGAAAAGTGCGACAAAACCAATCAATGTTTCCCATAAGAAATACTGTATTGTAAATCGGAAGTGTAGGTCCCATGGAAAAAAATATTCACCAGACAAAATAATGCGATTGATCTTTTCTAAAAACTAAGTAATGCTACCTCTTTCATTAACAATATTGAAAATTAGTGATTCCAACTATTGCTAACAGATTAATAGCACTGCTATTCCAAGCACTGGATACTGTACTGTCAGTAAGGAAAAAATCTAGGTCTCCTGATAGAATAATTGCTCCAGCAGTGAATAAAGTAAATCAATTATAGGAATTATAAGTTGTATCTTCAAATGCTAAAATAAGAAAATACTTCTTCAACTTTATAAGTCTCTCTTATATCCTCATCTGGAGACCATATCTCTAGAAAGACATAGCATCCCTAAAAAAAGGTGCAACAGAGTGTCATGCAGGAAAAATTTAAGGAAATTATTTCACACAGGGACCTGTGGAACAGTCTATCAGCACAAGCCATAAAAGCGTGAACAGTACTGGGATTCTAAATAACTGGACAAGACTATCAAGAGCAATGGAGGATCTTACACAGGCCATTGGCTTCCTCCTATTATGGCCACCTCTAGGTGGGGTAGCCATTACATAAAGGTATGTGATTTGTGGCCAGCAGCTTTATAATAATCATTCGTTTTAAGTATTCCTAGTTGTGCTTTATTACATTTACAGCCAATTTATGTGATGCAGTATATAGTACAGAACTGAGTTTGAGTGAAGCATTAATAAATGTGTTAGCATATTTACTGCAGTTTTCAAGATTTGAATTACATGGTAGTGATTATGATACACTACAAAACGTACTTTGAAAAAAGTTAAATATAAAGCATTACTGAGCAGTAATATATTTAGTCCTTCAGTACAACAATAGCCTGTCAGGTCGTGCACAACCTTGTAAACACATACTGTACTGGAATTTCTTTCATTCAAGTGGAAAATATCTAAAAGGATACTTTACACTGTACATAGTAGTGTACAGTGGTCCCTCGGTTAACGAGTTACCTTCCATAAGATTCTTAACTTCGGTTAACGAGCAATCCCTCGATTAACGAGTTTCTTACAAGCCAACCTGAACATGATTTCGCTTGCATTTGGCGGTCCACCAGCTGTAGTATTAGTCCGCCAATACAGTAATCGGTTCTAGGGCTTAAATTCCTTACCATTTTAGCAAATATCAAGAAGTTTATACTATTCAATAATTTTAAAAGTTTAATATTAAATTTTTTACTCATTTTAACAATTATTGAACATAATTGAAGGTAATGAAACTAGTTTTATGCGTGCCATCCAGCCTCTCAACACACCATACAGGCGTCAGTCTTTGTATCTTTTCAGTGGAGGTAAAATCTTGCATGAGACTCTCTTCAACTAAATGCTTTTTTTTCTGTTTTTGCAAGCAAATTATTGGTCATTTTGAAATTTATTTTACATATTGACAATATATAATGCAGTGCAGTGTTGATTTAAAGAAAATAATCTTGAATTGCACCAAGAGAACTAAAATTTTATGGGTGAAATGGCGCCATGGGGTGACTTCTCTTCCACCCCAATGCCTTCTCTTCTCCCTTCTCCACCCCCATTCTAATTCCCATTATCATCATCCAGGAGCCTTCTACATACACACCTCAAAGTAAGTGTACTTTTCTACCTTTTTTGTTGAATTTAGGCAATTTTCGGTGAGCTGGAACCAATTACCCAAAAACCCTTTGAAACAATGGTTTCGGTTAACGAGTTTTTCGGTTAACGAGCAACCTTGTAGAACAGATTGTGCTCGTTAACCGAGGGACCACTGTATTTACTTGAGATATACTGTACAGTGGGGTATGCTATAACAAATCTAATTGGTTCTAGAACCTCGTTCGTTATAGCATTCGTTCGTCATAGGATTACTTTGTTCCAGGCCCCCCAAATACAACCACTTAACACTGAAAAATTTCTGTGGAAATTGTAAAAAATACAGTACTTTATCTTACCTTAGTGTTGTTCAGCATGCAGGACAGGAGGCAGAGGAGGAGGGGGGAGGAGAGAATTATGGAGAAGAGGTGGAAGGAGAGGAGTCATCCTTCCTAGCCCTCTTTGGTGACTGTCTTACAGGCACTTTGTCTGTTTATTTATAATTTCTTTCTTAGTTTCAAGGGTTATTAGCTTTCTCACTCGCTTTTGACGATTCATTGTTACAATTGTACACTTGTATAACAAAATGGTTATAAAAATAACACAAATTTCCACATCAAAAGACGAAATTTCAACAAGTTCAGTGGTGCACTGACTACACAATGAACCAATATGGCGCCTGACGCTCTTGTTGTGAGCCGCGGTACAACAATATTCATGCGCCAGACGAAATAGTCCCGTATTCATCCGCGTTCGTTGTAGTTGTGTTCGTTATAGCATTCTCAATTTTATAGGTAAAACCGTTCATTATAGAATATTCGTAGTAGAATCCGTTCGTTATAGCATACCCCACTGTACTGTATTATATTATATACTGTAGATGAAATACATTGTTATTATTAATTTCACATCTTAGTAATTCCATTTTAAAAGTATCTGCTTCACTGTATGAAAAAAATGTTGGTTGTCAATTTGTCACCCCCAAACCCTGAACAGGGCTACACATAGAGAAAGGGGGGTTCATATGCTTCTGGGTTTCCAGTCGGTCTTTTGTTGGGCACAGGAAAGGAATTGGTAATAAAGAAAACATCCATTTGGAATATAAGAGACTTTTATGGTTTATTTTGTATTTATTTTTATTTCAACATCAATGTGAATGATTAATGAGTTTCATTGAGTTTAACCATACTTCTGGTTTAATATTAGCAAACTGAGAGAAAGATTGATTAACTAACCTGAAGATTCTTCAGGGATTCTGCACTGGAGGGGTTTCTGCAACAAGCAACTACAGTAGTACCTGGAATAGATGGCTAAAAGTTATGAAAAAATATGGTCTCTAAAATATATCTAAGCTATCCCTATAAATACTTAAATTTTGTTCAGTTAATAATTTTTTCTATAAACATGTTTATATAATAAAGGAGAATTACTGTATTATACAGCAATTGAAATTGGAGATCGAGAGGTCTGTAAATTCACCCACACTATCATTCTTCACACACGCTTATTCCCTCTGCTCCATCCATTCTAGATTCCATGTTGTGTTCTAATTTCACTTAAATGGTCCAGTTTTACTTATCTATTCTTAAAATTCATATAACACCTCAAAAAATACTTTTTTTCACCACAAAAAGGATAATTTTTATCAGTTGCTTGCAGCTCTTTCTTCAGAGAGACATGTTTGCATTTTTTCATATTCTAGGTAGGCCACTTTTCTTTCACACACTAATGCCTCTGAATGAAGACATTATCCTAAGGTCATCATTATCTGTCTGCTAGAGTGGTTCAGTATTGCTACCTGTTTAAGTCCCTTTAACCTTCAGTCTCCCCCTCCCCCCCAAGAAAGGCTAAAAACAGTTGCTTTAGCCATATCTCTATCATTTAAGTAATCCTCAAAACTTATCCTTTCATCTCTAACTGAAGTTAATGCTTCTCAATCCAACAACACTACATATACTGTTTAGCTAATACTTAACATTCCCCTTTGTATCAAGTCAATTCCTATACTCTTAGTCTATTAATTATGTCCACTGTCCAATAGGGTGAAAGCAGTCTTCTCAATGTCATCTTTTATTCTTAACTTAATTCTATTCCTAAACTTACAACTGTAAAATGTAATAGGGGATGCATTACTACAGTTAAATTTACCAATACCGGTACTGTAGTCATCTTGCAGCCATTGTATATCGAGCCTTAATTTTAGAACTACAGTACGCAACATGTACTGTACTATACTGTACGTGCACGACCATGTCAGACCCCACACCTCGGTGAACCAGGGAACGGCAAAATTGTAGACCAATGCCTCGACTTGCTCCCTGAATAAGTGCTGTCGGCATTGTTTTCACATCTATATCAGTCTTTATTTTTTTTACTTCTAGTCATACGTAGACAATGTAGGTCCTTGAATTCAGTTTCTGATCTGCAACTTAGCTGTGTCTGAAAAGATAAGTTTTTTACTGTTAGTCAGTTCCTTTAATCAGCGGGTTAAGGTAAGTGGACTTGTACCAGACCTTTCAAGTTGCACAGTATTTCTAACTTAATGCTCTTGATGGCTTATTTATTATACAGCACAGTACTAGGGAAACTATTTTAGTAGCTGGCGGACACTCACCCCACAAGGGGTCACAGTTCAAGGTTGAAGAAGTCACAAGCCCAGAAAACTGTGAGGGGTAACTTTTTCGGAGTGAGAGTTGTGAACGCTTGGGCCTTGGGACAATATGCTAGAGAGTGTTGTGATGGCACCGAGTGTGAGCTCTTTCAAGACCAGATTTGATAAGCACTGGAGCAGGTTCAGATACATTCAGGAGCCAGTGCATGCCCAGTACTTGCCAACAGTGCGTTAGAGAGACGTGATCGATCGCCCAAGCGGCTACGGCTAACGAGCCGATCAGTGGTGAAGAGGATAAAAGTAAGTATAAGTATCAGTTTGTAAGTACTGTACATGCACTGAAATGTAAATTATGAATGATCAGTGGCAAATATAATAAAAGTAAAATAAATATTAAGCTTGGCTGGCATGGATTACTTTGCCATACAGAAATCTTAGAAATTTTATCTTTGTAATAAATAGTTTAAACAATTCTAAGACACTTTTCTTCTATGACGTTTCCCTCACAAATGACCTGACCTAGCCTAACCTAACCTCCAAACCAGGGGGCGGACCCCCCAGCATATATAAGACGTTTGCGAGGGAAACGTCATAGAGAAAAGTGTCTTAGAATGGTCGAAACTACCAATAGTAAAGTTAAAATTCCTAATGTTCCCATGTTATCTATAAGTAAAGTAATACTCTTTTGTTACTTTCATCGGGTAAGAAAGTATTATCATTTATGGTGAACTGCTCTTCAATTGGTAGCTAGTTCAGGAGAGCAGCAGATCTTTAAAATTACCAATATTTTTGTGGGGGTTTAGATTCGTTTTAGTTACACAACAGAACTAAATCTTTCTATTTATATATAGAGAGAGAAAAACAAATATTTTTTTACGTTTCTGTCGAATTTTTTTTATATTTTTCGAGTGCAGTATTTTAACCAATGAGCCCACAATATTGGTTGTTCAAAGTGGACAGGACTTTCATGTAGAGGGAAAATGTGGGGGTAAAATACATAAAAGAACACCAAGTAAACCTTTGAAAATCTCACCTAACCTTTCCTAGCTTGTAAAAAGTCTCTCCTCATCTGAATACCGAAAACATCGCCACCATCACATACTAAACACCGAAAACACGAACAAGGTAAGCTTTTTATAGGTTAGGATTGGTTGCTAAGGTTTGATTGGTGTTGTTTATAGTATTTTATCCCATAATTTTGCTCAATTTCAAAGCCCTGCCCACTTTGACCAACCAATATTGTTGGTAAGTGGGGGATCATATCTCCATAATGGCTCATTTGTGATGGGAACAAAGGCCAGATTCATTAGAAACAATACAAAAACGCTAGGAAAAATTATGGTTAATATGCAGGACTTCATAGCCGCTTCCCCTATTCTGAGTAAGTTTGCCCATGGCAGGTCTTATGTTATGCTAGGTTATGCGAGTTAAGGTTAGGTTTGGTTAGGTTAGGTTAGGTTAGGTTAGGTTAGGTTAGGTTGAAATTATGGTTTTCCAATTTTTTTTTATGTGTTTTGAACGACTTACAAATACTGTACTGTAATTTTGGTATTATTGCGTTTACACACCGTTCATTCCTACCACTAATCTATTATCATATTCGAATAAGATGTCTAATTATAAGATAATTTTCATCTATTACATTACCGGCGGAAATGTATAATAACGGAGATACCATATCCAAAATTTTCTCTATTTTCTTCCATTAATCTTCCTCCATTATCACCTGCCTCACCTCCAACACTGCGTTTTTGTTTTTGCAACCAATTAAAATGATTTGGGGTTTAATTCGCTGTATATTTGGCCCAATCAAATTTGAGTTTTATTTTGGGTCTCATATTTCGAAATTCAAGTTCAGTTCCGACCAAGGAAGTCTGCAATGGGTGTCACTTGAATTATATGGAGCTGATTGCGAGTTTTGGGGAAAAAAACGTGAACTATAGCATTTTTTTCGATCGCATGGTGTTCTTCCAACCTCAGTAAAGTGTACTAAGAGCTAGACTGAATGTAAATATCTCAAAGACCAACATATGTGGTGTTGTGTAAGAATCTCAGAATCCAAGGAGAACAAGACCCAGGCCTATAAGGTAAGAAATAGGTGATTCCATTATATGGTGAGTCAATTAGGTTAGGTTAGGTTAGGTTTTTGTTTTTCTAGTGTTTTTTTTTTTGGTGTATTTTGCCATGATTTTATTTTCGGAAAACGTCCAACGAAAAAAATTCGATAAAAAACCCGGGCTAATTTCCGCCAGAAATGGTCATATTCAGTCTAAACACACACAAATATACTAGAAAAATATATTTTTTTACTTTCTAACAGAGAACGATGTGACAGTGCAAATTTACAGCAATTTTATCCGATTACTTACCTTTTTTTCTGATTAAGTAACTTTTTTCACTATATACAGCACAGTGTCTACCCTACACTAGGCTGGGTTTCTCAGTGTGTATCTTGACATTAAACAAGTGTCTCCGGATAGTAATGTTCTATTGAGCCTGTGTGATATAACAGAAGATTAATTAACGTACACCGAAAGTGATAATTACTTTTAAATGATGATTGTACCTGAGATAAAACTAATATTTGCGTAAACTTTAAGTTAAATCACATCTACAAAACTGTATTGGTAATTTTATTATTTTTAGAAATAAGTTTTATATATATATTACTAGGTTTGTCCTTACTTATATAATAAAAACGTAGATTTCCTTCATTTTAATGTTGGCCAAAAGTTTACCTCTTTACTTTGGTGAAAAAACTGTGTATGCACATTTATTTAAAGGCATATATTTACCAGCAACGATAGTATAGTTCATCTAGAATTTTTTTTAGTTATCTTTTGCAGAGAAAACGGGAATTTTTTAAGGTAAACTCTTGAATACTGTGATAATCCCTCTATTTACGGACTATCTACGCATTACAAGTTAACGCATTGAGGGTGGTCGCGTTAACGATGCATGTGGTGAAGCGGGTTAATTGGCATTTTTCAAGCAATATATCAGAGCAAATCTATACTGGTAGTGATTGTAGATCCGTCGAAAGGGTCCTAACACTGGGACGTCCCTCGAGCCTGGGTTTTACCAAGGATTTCTGCATGAGTATAATAAGTAACTACCTTTTCCGGTAATTTTTCGTTATTCATTCACCACCCTTTTTCACATTAAATTTTTTTTCTCTAGTTTTCTTGCTGTTTTAGATGAGTCTGACAATTATCTTGGGGCAAATCACTTGTTTTTCGTTAGGTCAGGTCAGGTCAGGTTAGGTTAGGTTAGGTTAGGTTAGGTTAGGTTTTCTTTCATCTAAAGCAACAAGCAAACCTCACCTAACCTCACCTTACCTAACCTAACCTAACTAAAAAAAGTGATTTGCCCCAAATATAAATGTCAGATTCATCTAAAACAGCAAGAAAACTAAAAAAAAAAATAATTTATATATATTTTCCTTTTCGCCACTTGTCAGCTCACATTCACCTGCCCTGTATGCCCAGATGGTGGTCAAGCTCACAACTGCCCTGCATGCCCAGCCGGAGGTCAAGCTCGCACCTGCCTTGTATGCCTTGTCATGTCACGCTCACTTCCCCTGTCATGTTCGTCACCCATATTGGAGTCTTCCAGGACACATCTTTCCAGTTGCAGCCGACACAACACAGGTGAAGGAGTGCTATTTGTTAAGGTAAATACTGAACATTTAACTGTTGTGTACTTAACGACTCTTGTCTGTCACACGAAGTAATTTATCATGCGTTAATACTTTATGCATGGTGTTTTATCATGTGTTAATCCTTTGTATATGGTAATTTATTATAGGTCAATAATTTATGTATGGTAAGTTATCGTGCGTTTATCTATGGTGATTTTCCATACGTTAATCCTTTATTTATGGTGATTCGTTAAAAATTCGTATTGAATACGAATCTTGGTGCTGTATATCACCAACAAACTCTCTTGTTCCTTTATTGGCACTACAACAAGTAAAGTGATTGAGGGAGTAACATTTATTTGTCATATTTAACTTGTGAAGCAGTATTTTAATTCAGGGTAATGTCCCTGGCCTGTGCTTGTTATACGTATTAATAAAGACGTGTACTGAAATTATAACTGGTTGTCCACCCTCAGATACGAACCTACATGTTAATATATTGAGAGGTTATTGTTTGTTCTTGTTCTCGAGACTCGAACATAAGGGAATACTTTAGAGCAGCGGTTCTTAACCAGGGGGTGGCACGCCCCCCTAAGGGGGCCTGAGTAATTTCCATGGGGGCGCGAACCCTGAGCAAAAAATAAGGAATGGCCTTAACAGGTGTGTGTATGACCTTATTTGGATTTTCGTAGGGGGGGTGGAGGGGTTCTCGTTCCCCACAGATACTTCAAAATGTCGTAAATGATAACTACGTCAATCAAAATGTAAAATTCCACTAAAAGTGACTGAATTAAGTTAGTAATAATGTCGTTAAGTGTACGATAATTTGATGAAGAAACGATAATTTTGAGGCTCCAGTACGATAATTCACATTTGAAAAATTGTCAACACTGACTGAGACGATTTCCAGTGCCAGTCGCCCGCGACGTCCGTTCGTGACAACTTTCTACCTCTCACACTCACGCATTTCTTTCTTCAATTGAGCTATGATGTAGGGTAGACTGTTTATGAACGAAACAATAATGATAATTACTTATATCAATTGAAAAGAATGCTAATTGTTTCGTTTTAATAACGAGAATGAAATTTGCCAACTCAAAATCACGCGTTGTCTTCTTTGAGTGATGTTTATGGCCATGTGGTGGTGGTGGTGGTTTATGATCATGGTTTTAAAATTTTATATGAAGGAAGGAGGGGGGCGTGGAGATGAGGACCAACTGCTATAGGGGGCGCGACCCTAAAAAGGTTAAGAACCACTGCTTTAGAGGGTCTTGGCTGATGGTTATGGGGCATTATGGTTCGGGGCTGTGACATTGGCCGAATTGGCAGGACGTGCAAGTGTTCAAAATGCGGCAGAGAACTGACATTGAAGAAGAAATATGTGTTTCAGTGCAACAACCGATAAACTTAAAATTACACAATGCCGTTTTAAGAAAGTTGCTTTCATTTGTACCATATATAAAAGTTAAGTTCTTTCTGCTTAATATGCCGGGGGGCCTGGGACAGTTAGGTAAAGTTAGGTTTGGTTGATTAGGTCAGGTTCATTTTATGTTCCGTGCATTGTCATTTTCATTTTCGTGTTTAAAGAGTATCGTGCAAATAATATCTCCAAACATTTTGGAGCAATTCCAGAAAGTCGTTCTGGTGTTAACCGTCTTCTCCACCATTACCCATTTCAGTTACAGTTTTTAAAAAAAAAATTTAATTTTATGTATTTAACACTTCCACACAAAAGGTTTAATAATTCACACCAGCAGTGCAACTCTTGTTTCATTAATTTATGTATGTTATTTTATTAAGTACAGTAGTACAGTGAAGTCGGATGTGTATGTTACCCACAAGGTTGCACTGTACTTCACACACACCAAATCAAACTGTGGATGAACTGGATGAAACTTAATCCCTTAAAGCAGGGGTGGGCAATTATTTTTGATGGAGGGCCACTTCATGAATGGTGGCACACTTCGCGGGCCACCCACTTAATGTAGATGCAAATGTATTATATTAACACAAAGTAAAGCCTTGTATTTGTAAATACAAATGCAGTGGCGGGCCACAAAAATAATTTGGCGGGCCAAATGTGGCCCGCGGGCCGTACTTTGTCCACCCCTGCCTTAAAGTTATGTTCAGTATGCACAGAATGATAAGATAAGAGTGAAAGAGAAAGTGTACGTTTGTGTATGAGAGAAAGACTTGGGGATTTATTTCTAGAGAACTTCTTGCCAGTGCGTTTTAATGGATCCCATGAAGATTAGGCACCCCCGTTTATTTCACCTCATGATTAAACACCATAATGGTAACCTAACCTAACTCCCCCATTTAGCGTTAATTTTTTTTAAGGGGGGGGGTAAATAAACTGGGGTCCCTAATCTTCATGAGATCCGTGTTAATGATCACAGCTAGACAGGTGTAATGGTTCACGATGATATTTCTGCAGAATCCCTTACGTGTACCTGAGACGAACATCGGCCAAATGTCAAAATCACAGGTAACACAGAAAGCGTATATATGAATCCCTGTAAAACACTCTGTAACTTAATTTACCTTGAAATATAAAGTTCTTTTGTCTCTGTGATAGGACGAATTTTACGTAACAGGATGGGAGTGGAGAAGGTGAGGGGTCCCGGTGTTACGTGGTGTTACTTGGAGGGGACTGGGGAGTGAAGGGGGGTCTTTAAAACTGCCAAATATTTGTTACGTAATGTGAGGTCGCTGAGTCGCACCCTTTTTATCTGTAATAAAATCTTCTCTAACCGGGGTGGGAGACATTGTGGTTTACATCTGTTTTCCTCTTTAATGCTCACTTCAGTCTTTCGTTAATCTCTCCAGTTCATAGACTAGACAGTATTTAGAAAATGCGAGGGTCAAATAGATTCACACTTATGTGACTAGTTTGTTACCTAAAGATATAGAAATGATTAATTGTTACGGTCAATCCCAGATCACCGTGACATGATTTTAACCCACGGTGTAAGTAGAGTATGTATCAAATATTATGTCCTGAAGTTGAGTATTGTCGACTATGTTAGTTACCTAAAAAGATTGCAGCAAAACTTGAATTAAAAACAACGCCGACGCCGACTCAAACGTTGGCCACTGCAGTCTCTAGGGAGGAAGGTCAAGAAAGAAATGGTTACATCAATTTAACCCGAAGAGTATTTTTATTAGTGTTCTTCTTAGGAAAGAGTTATTAATATCCTTTTTAGGGTAAACATTATAAAATATATTATGTCTCCTATAAAAAGCCTCAAGTGGGATTATTTGGAAGGCCACCACGTAATGTCACTTTTTGTTAAATGATATTCCTTCTCTAATTTCATATTTATCAACAATTATGAAAGTCAACCAGAGCTGACTAACTGAGAGAACTTATAACATTGTAAGCAACTTATATCCAATTCTTGGGCATAGTGTGATGTATTAAAGATATATATTCTGTAACTGGCTAATAATTTCTCATTTTTACGTACAGTACATGCACCTTGAATATTGTCACTGATTGCTCACAGTTTATAAATGGTCTAATATTTTCATGAAAAGAGAAATACATACGTGTGTGTGTAATAATAATAATAATAATAATAATAATAATAATAATAATAAACGGTTTATTAATAGAGTTGCAGCCAGTGGCTGAAAATTTACAGACTTACATTTGATTTAGACATAATGATATAATATGCATTGAATATATTTACAGGGCTGTACAGTACATAAATCAGGAGTTGTTTATTATTTTAACAATGTGTGTGTGTGTGTGATTGTCATAACGAACATGTAGTGTCTACTTTTATGAGTCAATATAGTTTCCCGTTTAATTTAGGGTTTCCGTTTAAGAACTTTAAGGTCGAACCTGGTTTTAGGTTTTGTAACAATTGCATTACGTGAAGCGCTGAAAACTGCACTATAATATCTATGCCAGGCACAGGGGATTAATTACGTAAATCTATTTCTGTAGAAAATTGCTTTACATAAAACCTTCGGAATTTGTAGTCGAAGGTGTTTAGTGTAGGGAAGGAACCAAGTTGGACTGTAAGATGAGGCTTCTAAGTTGACGTTAGTTGCTCAATATAAGTGAGTAACGTCTCATGTTTGTTTGTTTTTTTATATCAAACCATCTCTAATACTCATCTCACCCTGTCTGACTAATTTTTATTCACTTATTATAGAACCTATCCTCACCTTTCATTGACGTTATCCAGACTTGGGAAAGATCACCCAAACTTGTGACTTTTTTTTTTTTACCAAATTGACGTTTCCTTGACATGATTTGATAGTACGCTATTTACTATCATACAAAGGAAAAAAGAGTATCTAGGGTCATGGCCCATGGCGACAGACATTGGTGTTACATGGTCGGTTGGAAATTTGGCGCCTTTGCCCCACCTTACTGAGTGTGCCCGCGAGCCTCTCTTCTCCTCCCCAGCCCGTCTCTACACCAAACTCTCGTCCCCAGTCCATCGTTACACCTGAGATAACCCTATCGTTTTGGCCAAATACCACTGTTATTTAATATACATAAGTAACTTTGTCGCTATTATACGGTTAATCTATTAAAGATTCTATTTACTCAGAATAAATAGGATTCATTTAAAATGGCAGGGAGTAAATAATTAAGGCTAAATAAACAGAAACGCGTCCCACAAACTTTCGGTCAGGGCTCACCTGATAGGGTGGGGGTGAAGTTTACCTGTATTACCAGAGATAAAGGCGACCTTAAGTTCCACTCACTCTAGCATCACTAACATCAAAAAATTCCAATTCTTCAGAATTCCATCGGAAATCAAGAAATCGCAAACAGCACTCTCGACGAGAAGGAAGGATTTCGAGCGATGCGCATATATTGCATGGCTTGGTGACGTCATTGCGCGCTGTCAGGCAGGGTTGGGATCGCCGTGGCAGCCCTCACCAGCACCCAGCGACAGTCAGGTGGTGAGAGTGGTGCGAGCCGGACTACTATCTCACTTGTCGTCCTCCACATCCACGACCACCACAACTCATTCAGACACCACCAGGTGAGTGAAATGTGACGACGTAGAAGGAAGACTTGGACCCCAGCTGAGATATCTTTATTGTTAACCGTGCAAGAGGGAACTAAATGAGAACGGTAGTGTCGGGGTAACTTGTCTACGTGATGTGGGCGTGAAGGGTGTTGTTTGAGCAGATGTTGCAAGGATTATCAGTAGTGAGGAATTTCTTTGTCATTCCTACCATTACTGTTCACTAAATATGCATAGGAGGAAGGCACAGAAAGTGGTTAAGGCAATAAGGAAAGAATTGGTAGCCAACACCGCGTGACAACAGGAGTGGATCGAACGCACTCCTCCAGGAAACTCTCCCCCACTCCCGCTTTATAAGGAACGAGTGTCGATGGTGAACTTCACAAACTTGGTATTAAACACATACCATATTATCAATACAAAGAAACGTCTTGTAATTAAAGAAGGGGTTAATTGTGTCGACATGTAGTCATTATCAACATGGAGAGATCAGAACAGTATCTGTCACAAGTCTTCATGTAAAATTTACTCGTGTCTTAACAAAATCACAAATAATTTACCTTTGCTTTGACGGTGATCTCCAATTCAGAGCTCACATTTAACAGATATTCGTAAGTAATTCCATTTTCTCATAGCTGGGGATTCAACAACATTCATCACTGGCTGACAATGTAACAAGTTGACGGCAACAGCCAACAACCTCTAAATAGTCAAGAAAGAGTTTATCGTACGTAGATCCGTTTACTGATACACAATCGAATAAAAGTCCAAGAATTTGGTCACATCTTCACCTGCATTATTTCGCCCTATAGACAATTTTCATTCACTGTGAAGTTCATATCAGAATATTTGGCAGCTGTACTGGTCACCGGAAACATGTGTGGCGCGAATATTAGAGACAACATCCACAAACAAAGGAAACTCGAAAAGTGTAAATTACTGAAATGATTTCATGTAGATCCACAATGGAAACGTGGACAAGATAAATCTCGATAAAATCACAGGAAAAAGGAAACAATGGAGCACCTTAGCTTTCGTCTTTATTCAAGACATCTTCAGAAGCTACTGAGGCAATTTATTTGTCAGTAGCCCAAAGTTAAAAATGCTTTGAAAGCATTTGAGGTAGATGTAGGCTATATTTTTTTATTTATATTTTTTATTATTATTATTTTTTTACAGGGGTTAGCCCACCCGGGCACAGGTCAGTGACCCACATCGGGGCCTGAGGGGCGAAAATATAATCATAATAATAATAATATTTAAAACAAATAAATAAATGTTATAAAAAATACTGCCCTCTCGAGAGGGCAGTTCAAAGGATGTCGAAGTTTCTAAACTGCTAGGGGAACATATGAGCACGGGGGTGGAGACTGCTGTGGGAGCGGGAAAACAAAGTGAATGGCTACAGGGAAATAGTGCTAGGAATTATGACAAAACTAAAATAGGCAGGGAGTTAAAACCTAAACGCGACAAAGAGAGGACTCAGAACACGACTAACTTAAATGTCTACTATGCAAACAGTAGAAGTATGAGAAACAAAATGGATGATATTAGGGCCTTGGTATGTACCCAAAAAATTGATATAATAGCATTCACCAAAACATGGATAAACCTAGACTCACGTGAGTTACCTGTCGAATACCAAATTTGCAGGTTACAAATTATTCCATACCGATAGGCAGATTAGGAAAGGAGGCTGAGTAGCAATCTATGTCAGAGATAATCTGAAGTGTGAAATAAATAAGGAAATCAAAACTGAGTGGGAATACAGAAACAATTTGGATAGAATTTATCGATGGTAGAGAAAAATTAATCACAGGAGTAATATATAGACCTCCTAATCTTGATAGAGTTAATGAACGACTTATTTGGGACGAAATGCTCAGGGCTTCCATACATAGCAAAGTCTGTATAGTAGGCGACTTTAACTTTAGCCAAATAGATTGGACTGATCTTACAGGTAACTCAGAATCAGAGGATTTTCTTGAAACAATCCAGGACATATAACCGAACCCACTCTGGGTAATAATATACTCGATTTAGTTCTGTCAAACAGAGAAAACCTCATTAGTAATGTCAAGGTGGGGAACGAACTTGCAAACAGTGATCACAAAAAAATTAGATTCCAGTTAGAATTTCAGGACAGCCGCAAGTCCCAGATTTCATAAGGGCAAACTTTGATAGGTTGAAGAGGCAGTTGAGAGAGGGGGTATCATGTTTGGGTGAACTACATGACCTCACTTGAGGTGACCTCACTCAATGTACCCACAGGGGGCGACCTCACCCTACCCGGAGACCTGACGGTTGAAATTGACCTGATAACGAGATCTGAGGATGCCGAGTTCCACTACAATTTAAATAATGAGTTACTTAATGCACAAAGGCAGAACATACCATACAAAAAACTCAGATCAAACAACAATGACCGTAAATGGATAAATAATTATTTAAAGAACATTATTGGACAAAGGAAGGCTATAGGTAGTGGAATAAACCGTGGTGAAGTTTACCTCCGAGATTACTATAAGGTATTGGCCGGTAGGGTTAAGACCGAGATAAGAAAAGCCAAGAGGAATAATGAGCTGAAGATAGCAAGGGAGGCGAAGTCAAACCCCAAGGGATTCTATCAAATGTATCAAACTAAAACACGAGAAAAGATTGGACCAATACAGTCAGATACCGACGAGCTAGCTGATAACGACGGAGAAATGAGCACTAATCTGAATAAATATTTTTCAACAGTTTTCACCACCGAAAATTTAAACATGATACCCGAAGCTCCGACTCTATTCAGAGATAGTGAAGAAAATATATTAAACGAGATAGTAGTGACTAGTAACGATGTTAGTAAGCAAATAGACAAACAAAAGCCTAATAAGTCACCAGGTCCCGATGAGATATTTGTCAGAGTATTAAAGGAATGTAAGGAAGAGCTTAGTATGCCCTTAGCAAAGTTGTTTAACATGTCCTTAAAAACAGGTGTAGTACCAGAATCCTGGAGGATAGCGAATGTAATACCGATTTTCAAGAAGGGGGATAGATCACTATCCTCTAACTACCGCCCAATCAGTCTAACATTAATAGTAGGCAAATTACTGGAAGCAATCATTTCAAACTCTATACGAAATCACCTGGAGAAGCACCGATTGATCAATGATTCCTGGCATGGCTTCACAAGCGGACGTTCTTGTCTAACTAATCTATTAACATTCTTTTCATCAGTTTTTGAATCAGTGGACGAGGGGCACAATTATGATGTGGTATATGTCGACTTTAGCAAAGCCTTCGACAGAGTCCCCACGAAAGACTAATAAGAAAAGTGGAGGCTCGTGGCATTAAAGGTGATATTCTAAAATGGATTAGGACGTGGTTACAGGACAGAAAACAGCGAGTGAACATAAACGGCACTAAATCCCATTGGAGCAACGTCACTAGTGGAGTTCCGCAAGGCTCAGTACTTGGACCATTATTATTTATTATATACAAAAACGACATAGATATCGGCGTAGACAGCAACATAAGTAAATTTGCTGATGACACTAAAATAGGACGTATAACTAAATCTGACGAGGACTCCGCAAAACTACAGGAAGATCTAAAAAAATTTCGAATGGTCTGAAAAATGGCAGATGAAATTCAATGTGGACAAATGTAAAGTACTCAGTAAAGGAGATGTAAACAGGGAAACCAGATGAACAACGATGCCATCTAGAAATACGACTGCGAGAGAGATTTAGGAGTAATGATAAGCAGGAATCTTAAGCCAAGTAAACAATGTGAATTTGCTCGAAACAAAGCTAATAAAGTACTTGGGTTCATACAGAGGAGTGTTAGTTACAAGACTAGCAAGGTCATCTTGAAACTATATCTTTCGCTTGTGAAACCTCACTTGGATAGAATCCTTGGAAAGAATTCAGAGGAGAATGACAAGACTAATCCTGGGCATTAGGAACCTTGAGTACAGAGACAGGTTAAAGCATCTTAATTTTCACTCCCTCGAGAGACGTAGAGTGAGGGGAGACATGATCGAGGTGTATAAATGGAACAAATTTAGATTTAGGCGCGAAATAGGTAAACATTGCTTTGGAAATAGAGTAGTGGATGACTGGAACAAGTTACCAAATATCATCATTAGCTCGAATACGCTGGATAGCTTCAAACATAGGTTGGATGGATATATGAGCAATAGGGGCTGGGTGTAAATGGGACTGCCCAGTATGGGCTAATAGGCCTGCAGTTTCCTCCATTCCTATGTTCTTATGTGTGTTGTGTTGTCAATAGTAAGAGAAACAATTGAGACCCTACAATTGTGTGTAAATGAGGCAGAAAGTCAGATCAGCAACCTGTGACTTGGTTAAATATTTTGTGATGCCATATGGCACCAGGGTCTACCGTTAGACGATTAGTGGGTCTCATATTTTTTACCTGACTTGACTTAACTTGTTACATCGCCCAATTTTATAAGCTCCTCGTATGTTTGCGGTGGTGGTGGTGTGTGGATTAGTGGATGCCATGTTATTGACCTGACCTGATGTTTTGCAAGGTCACCCTGTGTATGTAAGTGTTCAGTCCCTGTAAATTCAGTTGCCTCTGAAGATGTCTTGAATAAAGACAAAGATTATGGTGCTCCATTGTTTCCCTTTTACTGAAATAATATGATGAATTTATATTAATTTCAGAGATGGGTTCATATTGGATCTCAGATCGAATAACAATAAATCAGGTGTTAAGGGTCTTTGCCAGAACACGGCACGGGTGACCTGTGTGTGTGACACTCCCGGCCGTAATATTACGACCCAGGCGTTGACGGCCAAGAAAAACAAATCAACCAACACTTGTGCCATGTATAATGACTATGAATTCCTTTTGGGACCAAATAAATGACAGCAAAATTTAAATAACACAGCTGAGGTCAAATCCTCAGATACCCTTAAAGTGCATCAACACGAGTGTTAAATTTCACTGAGAGAAGACCCCCATCCCCCGCGGCAACTTTGTCCTTTTTGGGGAACTTT